GGGCATCCAGTCCGTCCAGCCTGTACCCGAGTTCCCCTTCTCTTCTTTAACTCGTGTCCCTGTTCACAAACCAACACGATGGTTATTCAGGTCAAGGCTGGCCAGCTCCGACTGCGGCGTCGAGAGGCCTTTCCTACCCTGCCCAGGATGCAGGACCTCTGCAGTTTGATTTGCGTCTCCTAAATCCAACCTTTTGCTCTTCCTTGGGCCTCCAGGAGAGTTTAGCTTTGGAGCGTGGACAGCAGCCCCCAATCCCTTTGACAGACTCACTTGGAGTGGACACAGATGAATTTCAATGTCCATGCATCAGAGTTTTTGGAAGCTTCAAGCGGGCTGCCAAGGTACTTGAGAGGCCGGCCGATGTGCCAGGAGGCATTCCTTACCGGCTCGTTTGGGAGGGCTTCCTGGGGGTGCTTGCTTACTGATGTTGGTCTGCAGGTTTTGGCTGGGTGGCTGGTGGGCATTGGGAGTTTGTGTATTAAAAGCCACCTGTCTGGCCTTGCTTTGCCCAGTGGAGACGCTAGCCTGGGGGTCCTGCATCCTGATCGGGTGAGGATTCCACCAGCGTGAACTGCTGGCTACACAGGTGGCCACGAAACGAAGAAGGCAAACTCATGGCTCACAAATGCTACGCTGGCTTCCACAGCCATCCTGGAGTTAAGAGCTGAGGCCTTTTCCCAAATCCCTTTCCTCGGGTCGCTCCACATCCACACATCAATTGTTCTGCGGCTTCAAAGGAGAGGGATTTAGCCAGAATGACTTGCAGCTGAGGCTTTACGGCCACACCAACGGCAGGCAAGCATTCCACGGGCCAAAGGCACAGATAGATTTGGTAGCATCAGTGTAGTCATTCGGCTCTCATCTTAGTTTATTTGCCTTCTTTGTTTCCAGCTTGCAACCCTCAAGGGAAAAACCAGAACAAGGCAAGTGATAAATGCAAACATACCAACGGGCAGGGGGCATCTAATCCAGGCGCTCCTTGGTCTCCCTTATCCCCTTTAGGCCCTCTAGAGCCTTTCTTCCCCCTCTCCCCCTGTAAATAATAGTTTAGTCCAAGAGAAAAAAACAACATCAAAACTTTAGGATCATTCATGTGTTATGGTTAGAGATAGACATAGAGCAAATTAAAGAGGGGAAAATAGCTTCTCTCAATTAGGATGGTCTCCCCAATAGGATTTGGGGTCAGTACTCACTGCCACCCCTCTAAGGACCTGAGGGTTTGGCTAAGGCAGGTGGGGACGGGTAGGGGAGGTGAGGGAGACCTGGGAGCAGGGAGCAGGAGGGCTCGGAGGTGGAGGTGACGGGGTGGGGGTGGGGGGAATGCAAATGGAAGATACTGGTGGGCAGCTTTGCTAATATTGAGCCCAGAGTGTAAACAGGGGGACTCCCTTCCTTCTATTTGAGGGTCCATTTTGAAAGATTTTGGCTTGAGAACGTTTGTCCCAATTGGTTTTCATCCCTTTTATATCTATTAGGAGGCAAGGTAACTTTTATTTAGAGCCATGCGTGTGCATATGCGTGTGTGTGTGAACACAGCATGTATGAATGTGTACATGTACATGGTTGTGCGCATGTGTGCATGTATGAGTCTGTGCTAGTATGTACATGTGTGTCCAGGGCTCCTGGGTGGCCCCTGGTCCTCAGCGGGGTCCTTCCATTCTGTGTCTCTTGTCCATCCTGGTCTGAAGCCATAGGCAGCTATTTGTAAACAGACAAGTTGGTTCAAGGAATCCATTTGTTTCTGAAGAGCTTCAGTGAGCACTGTCTTTCTCAGTTGAACCCCATTTTGCATGTGCCAGAGTCACTCTCCGTTTAAAGGGCTGTGGGGGATTCTTTGTAATGAATTAGCGTTTGGATTTTCGCAGGTTGGAGGGCCAGGTGTGCCCCCGGGAGCCTTCCTGGGAACGCCTGTCCCCTGCGATTGTCTAATGCGTCCAGTGTTGCTCCAGGGCCACAGACCTCGAAGGAGGGCAGCACACTGGTCAGAGCAAAAGCTTACCGCCAAAGAGGCTCTGCCTGTTATCAGCAGTGTGACTCTGGGAAGTTACTTAACCTCTCTGAGCCTCAGTTTCTTCACCTGTCAAGTGCGGGTAATAACACCGGCCTCAGAACTTTATCTGAGGCCTTTGTGTATGTGAAGTGCTTAACACTGGCACGTGGTAAATGCTCAGAAAACGACAGTTGCTTCGTATGATGACAACAACAATGACTGCTTCTTGTTGGCTGGTATAAGGTATGGCCTCGTGTGTCTACTGTGCTCCTGTAGTGGAAGGGGAAGGGTTTGTTAGAGGGAGCCAGAGGATAAGAATGTTTTTGATGTTTTCCAGGATCTTTGGAAATTCCTTAAATCTCTTGATTCCCGAGGTCCCCTGTAATTGCCAATGCGTTGTTCTGAGTGAGTTTTCTAAAGTGCAAATGTTTACTTAGAAAATGATAGAGTTTAAGAGGGCATGTGTGATGCATACCAGGCAGAATCGCATTGGCTCTGAGACACTCCCACCAACGAGAACGTCGTGGTGTGAGTAGCCCCCATGCAGTGGACAAGCAAAACCACTCGCTGTGGGTGGGAAGCCCACGTGAACTTTCTCAGGGAGGAGACTCCCTTGCCCCTTGGGTCGGGCCAGTGGAAAAGTGAGCACAGTTTCCCAAAGACTCGGGCTCCAGGTCCCAGGTGATCGGCCTGTGGGTAACGGAGGGTGTGCGGGTCCTGCCTTTCAGGATGGGTGACTGACTTGCATTGTGGAGCATCATGTTCTAAGGGCACAAGAAATGGCTTTATCTCGGGTGCCCTTTGGAGACACTAGAGTAGTAGCTTTGCCTACATCCTCCTGCTCCCAATGAGGCTCCAGCAGAGAGAGGGTTCCAGCTGGAACAGGGAAGGCAGATAAAGCCAGCTGCAGAGGTTCCCTTACACAAAATTAATGCATATGTAAAAACTGCTTTTAGAGGAAAGAAATGGAAGCTGGGGGAGTGAAAGGGATAGGATGAGGGAGATGGGGTTGCTATAATGTAGTACACAATATAGGGGGTAAATATTGAGGAAGTAAAGGAAGGAAGAGGCAGGCCCAGGCCAAAAGAGATAGTAAGGAGGCAAGGGGGCTTGGGGAAGCAAGACACTCATACGTGCACACACGCACACACATGCACATACATGCACACACACATGTGCATGCACCCCCCCACACAGATGGCACATCTCAGAGAGTGACAGTAGCTGCACTACATGCGTGCAGACCTTTCAGTTGGCTGTGGCTTGCAGGCAGCTCCACCTTCACACCCAATTGTCCTGGTGCCCAAATTGCCAAATTCACACCCCCTTTTATCCTTGATGGACTTTTTCGTCCTCAAAGTGGCTCCTAGGCCAAATTCACAAGGCTGTGAAGGGACAACAAGGGTGTCCTTAGTGACAAGGACAGAATGTTCTTTGCATTGGCAGGTGTGTCTCCTCAGAAAACTGCCTGTGAGGGGCTCTGAGCCTTGCCCACCACCTCGAGGACCTTCCTCCCTCCATGGATGGGAAGAGGCTCAGGACCATCTTCTGGCGGACGCGAAGGAGCAGCGCTTTAAGATTGCATCTCAGGCCGCCATCTGATAGAACAGTGGGTATCCGGTGCACCCACTGGGACCCCTCTGATGGGGTCCCCGGCATGGGTGGTTGAGTTTGGGAGCAGCCCTACAGGCAGCCACCCTCCACACCTGGTGGGGCAAGGGGCTTACAGCATCTCCAGCAACAATGAGACTTCTAACCGGATTGTCATCTAAGCCCTTCTGCCTCTGACCTTGACCAAAGTGTTAATTCTGAGCTCCCAGGCATCAGAATAAAAGCTGTCCCTCTCCACGGTGCAGATTCTACTCGGGCCTTTCTTTGTTTTGGAGGCTTTGTTTCCAAGCCCTCACACCTCCCCTCAAAGACCTCAGAGGCTGGTGGCCTAAGGAGGTCTGAATGAGGAGGTGAGGTGTAGGGGGACCCTTCTAGGACATTCTGGCATCCAGACAGCCAAATCTCTTGGAGGGAGAGAATCAGCTGCTCCTTGATCGCTAACTGAACAAGCCAATGGGTTCTTTGCCACACTCAAAAGAAGGCTCATGCAATTTGACCCTCTCTGGACTTTACTAAGTGACATTTGCTAATTTATATACGGGATGGGGAGAGCGTGCAAAACCTTAGGAAGGGGAAGTGGAGAAGAAATATTTTCCCACTGATTCCCTGGGCTTTATTGCCTCATTCGGTGGCTTGGGTCCTTAAACATCAGCGCCTCCAGCCTCCACCTCCCTCCATCTGTGACAAGGGCATCTGCCTGCCCTGCCCCCACCTCTAGAACCACACAGTCGCCACGTAGGCTGGTGATGCAGCCCTCAAATAGCTCAGTGCCTCAAGCCAACTGAAAGCGTCTTAAGAAATTGGTTTAAGAGGTTTTAATTGACTATAATAACGAAAACCAGAACAGGTTAGAAATAAATTAGAAAGGAGGTTAGTATGCCAACGAGGTGGAATGATCAATTTTTTGAGTGGCCTAAATTCTTGGATGCCACAGCAATGAAGGTGGGCTTCCCAGCCAACTGTAACAGGCCGGCACATGTCTGGGAGTAGGCCTGTCTCTTCCAGTGGTTTCTAGACTTGGTCTTCCCATGGAAAGTCTGTACGGCAGCTCTTCCTGTTCCCTCGCGTTTATAAAACATATGGGACAAATCTAGTTGCTTTTGGCCAGCTGCCAGAAAGGAGAATTTAGGGATATAGATGTGCTCCAAAAATGCGCCCTAAGTTGAAGAGACTGGAATCAGTGCTAGATTTAAGCGTATGGATTCTGGCACTGTCTGTTCACGATCATGATCACCAGCATTCAACGCTCAGCTGGAGCCCACCTGCTCTGCCTTCAGCTCTGTGGGGATCCAGTGCATTTTATCATCCTTCTGGGCCTGTTTCTCCATGTGTTCTTCCCACTCCTCTTCTACCTCTAAGATCCTTGGATCTTTTGACCTACACAGCGGTGGGGAACCTTTTTCTGCCAAGGGCCATTTGGATATTTACACCATCATGTGTGGGCCATGCAAAATTATCAACTTAAAAATTAGCCTGCTATATTTGGCCAAACATGTAACTAACTCACCTCTAATGCCTTGGCAGGGCCAGACCAAATGATTTTGCGGGCCTTATACAGCCTGCGGCCGGACGTTCCCCACCCCCTGCTTGAAGATGCCCTTGGCCGTTAGGGGATGTGGATCACACTGAGACTCACTGTGATGGGCAGCAGTTGAGATATTCTAGGAAGGACCTCAAAGGTCATCTCTTGGTCAGACGGAATTAAATGGTCCTGCTGGGACCAAGTATGTCATGTATCATATACATGGCCTGTGTCATATGCCGTGACATGTCTGTGGGTGCTGTGGGCATTTGGTAACTGTGTCCTGGTGAAGATGGCAGAAACCAAAGGGAGAGCTGGGGGCCTCTGAAGGCGCGGGTCATTTCCTAGTCCTGCTGGCGCTTTCCAAGAGAAATAATGGCTGTGCAAGGGTTGGCTGCTCACAGTAGCTTTCTGCTTGTTCTCAGAACGGGAATTTATTTTCTCTCTCACCAGTGGCCTGGGATGCCTGGCAAAACTGTTTCAGGGGCTAGGACTAGGCAACGCTGGATTTAAAAACATCATTTAGGGGCCCATTATCAGGGCACTGTAGAGAGAGCTGGGCACGTGACCCCCATCACTGAATGGCAATGCTAATCTGATGGCCACCATGGGATTCTGTCTTCCCTTGTCAGGCGGAAAAATACAAGCTTCAATTTCAGGCTCAGGCCCCAGGCTCCCTGTGTGCCACAGATTAAGCCCCTCACTAGCAAGCCTTTCAATTTACAACGATTTATCAGGAAAAACTGTATTTGCCATGTTGGGTCAGGAATCCCCAATTGGTCATTCCACCACATCATGAAGACATTAGTAACCAGAGCCCAAGGGTGAGGGGTCAGACTCACCCGGTTTCCTTTGTCCCCGGGTGGTCCATGTAAACCCTGCAATAAATCAGAGCCATGGAAACACATTAACGAGAAAACACGGGATGGCCGTGCAGCGCTTCCTCCCAGGCTCATAAAGTTCTTCTCTGATGCCTAATTTCTCCAAGACAGATTTAATTATCCCCATTCTACAGAAGGGGGATGAAGGGGCTCAAGGAACTTAGCCTCGGGATAAATCATGAATAATGGGCAAAGCCAAGAGCATGGTTCTGGTTTTCTGCTCCGCGGCCAACGTCCTGCTGTGTTCTTCAAGATCACTCAGGCTGGGGGTGACGTGTGCTGAGGACGGTCTGGGGAGGGAACTCCCTGGCAGAGGAGGTGTTTGCATGGCTCTCCAGCCAGGTTCTGGCCAGAAAAGTGGCTGCAGAGCTCTTCAGACCCTCTCTGTGAGGCGCACGCTGCCCTCCATGGCCTCAGCGGGGGGAATGAGCACAGGCCAAGGCTGGTCGGGGCTGCACACTTAGCCAGAGCAGAGCCGCCTGGGCAGCCACGCATGGAACCATGAACAGATAGATGGTCAACCTTCAAGTGGGTGGGAAGTAAAATTCTGGTTTTCTCAGGCAATCAACTTTTTAAAACAAAGTAATGGGAAAATCTGCTTCAATCATGAAGCAGTCCCTTGGGAAAGCTGCCCTCTCCTTCTTGTAGGATGGGATTTGGATTTGATTCCGCCCCCCCCCCCCCGCCCTCCCGGGACAGGGCCATGGCACATTCATCTGTGAGACCCCCACTGCGTCGGACACGGAGCCTTGTAGTGGATGGGGCTCATGATGTGTTTGCTGCATCTCAGCAGATGGTCCACACAGTTGAGGACTTGGTCCCCCTGCAGGGATATTCCAGCGTATCGACCAGTTGGCTGTTGGCAGCTTCTTCTGCCACAGTAGTGCTAAGTCTCGCTTAGCGCTAGAGTTCTTGCTGCAGGTGCTGGGCATGCTGCCGTGACAGTTTCTGGGGGACAGGGTGCGTGAAGAAAACCTTTGGCCCGGTGAAACTTACCGGAAGCCCAGCTGCTCCCGTTGGTCCTGTCATCCCAGGGTCGCCTTTGCTGCCCTGAAACAGGAGACAGAAGCCACTGAGCCCTGCTGGACGTAGTACCAACCTGCCACCAACTGCTTTCTGGTTTAGACCCAGGACACCTCGCCAGTCCCCCCAACCGCTGTCCAGGAAGCAAGGTCTGAGCGAAGGGTGGCGCTACTGGTGTGGACTCTGTCCCGGGAGGCGGCTGGAGGCCCCTCACCCTCCCTCCAGCAGAGCCTGTCCCCCAAGGCCTCTGGGAGGGGGGAGCAGTGTCCTGGGGGTCCTGGCTGGCCAGAGGCAGCAGCAGGGGAGAAGGAGGGAGGAAACGGGCGTGAACACAAAGGCAGGGACAGGGAAACAGGAGAAAAGAGCTGTGATTTCTTCCTTAAAGCTGTCACACCGTAGAGCAGCCACCCTGGCTGAGGATGGCACTCTAGGAGGGACGGGTAAGGGCAGAGACTATGGGCTGAGCGGTGACCCTGGGGCCTCGGTGCCAGGGCTGAGGGCCTGAGGCTGAGGAGGGTGCCCAGGCTCCCGGCTCCCTGAACACTCACCCTCTCACCCTTTGGTCCGGCGGGGCCTGGAACTCCAATTGGTCCTGGAGTGCCCTGGGGAGGCGAAGGAGAGCAGAGGTGAAGGTCCTGGGGCGGGGGAGCCCTGGGCACCCGCCCGACGCCTGGAGAGGAGCAAGGTCCAGTGGCCAGTTTTCAGGGTTGGCGAGGCCAGGCTCGTTCAGGGCAGTCATTCGACTGAGCTGTGTTCCTGTTTGGGTTTGGGGCCTCGGGGAGAGAGAGCCTCCCCTGCCTCAGGGCCGGATTGGAGGAAGAAAAAAACCCCTTTCACTCCACAGCCAAGCTTGCCAAGGCTGAAAACGGTAGGAAAACGGTTGCTTAGTTTGCTCCCAGAAGCGCTTGGGAGGGAGACGACACCAGCCCAGGGATGGGGGCCCGAGGGTGGCACCCCTTTGCTGTCACAGCTCCACATGCAGCGGGAGGGGCTTCATGCCACGGAGACCGATGCAGACGCACACACAGAGGCAGGCGTGGGAGGGTCATTCAGCCATCGCCCCCCCCACCCGCCCCACTGCGGCCCGGCCGGCCTTCAGCCTCTGGCCGGACCTCTGTCCCCACTCCCGGGCCCAAGGGAACAGCTGGGTTGGAGAGTGCATTAGTGTGCCTCGAGGCCTGGTCTGCCCACACTGGTGGGAGGGGAGGTGTGTCAGAGCTCCTCCCGCAGGGCCGCGGGGGAGTGGGGGCAGCTGGAGCTATGGGAGCTGCGTTGCTTAGAGACGGAGCAGGGCTTGCTATGGTGTAATTGAACATCTTCCCCAGGTTCCCAGTTACAGCCCGGCTAGATGGAGTCTATGTTGCAGAGCTTCCCATTGCTCGGCCTCAGTGTTTGTTTCCTGCTCAGACATAAGGGGGTGTGGGCTGGGCCTGTGGACAGTCCCCCGTGTTCCAGGTGCAGCCGTGAAAGGCGGGGCAGGAGCAAGTGGGGGATGCTGATTTACTTTATGGGGAGGGCAGGCGGGGAGGGGCAAAAGCCTATTCTCGGGGCTCCCTTTGCAGCTACCAGGGAAGGAGGAACTCTGTGGACATCGGTGACAAGAGCACGTCAAAAAAGATCAGAGTGATGGTTCAGCCCAGGACTCCAGAGTCACTGGCTGGCTTCCAGTCCTGCTTGAAGGCTTTGAACTCTGCGATACTGCAGACGTTTCTTGGCCTCTCTGAGGCTCAGTTTTCCCACCTGTAAAATGGGGATGGTAACACGAGTATCTGCCTCTCAAGCCGCTGCCAGGTTAACATGGATGAACACATGTCATTCATTTGCACCCAATAAATATCAGTATTGGCAGGGCAGGGTTACTTTTCCCATATAAATGTTCCTTTAAGGTTGTGATAGTGATTTTATGAAAAAAATAAATCCTCAGGTCCAAGGGGACAGAATATATGAATTTGTACTGCTGCCCTCTGTCCATCATGAATGGAGGAAGTAGCTGAGAGGGAAGTCTCAGGTTCTCTGAGTCCAGCCACAGATCATCTGCCAGCTCTGACTGGGCGCCTGGGAAATGTGTGCTCGGGGCAAGGAAGATGGAAATGGAGGGCCTGTGGTGGAGGAGCAAAGCCGTGATAATGCTCAGAAAGAGGCATCTTCTCCATTTATGAGAGTCTATAATTTTAACTCCATAAACACGAGGTGGGGAGAGGCCCCTGGGAGGCCTGTTGCCGGGGTGATTGGACATCTCCCTCTACCCTGAGCGTATGTCCTCCCTCCTCAAGTGAGCCCTGCAAGTTCTCCTCTTCCCCCAGGTGTTGCTCCAGCCAGCTCATTAGAACCTTGTCTTCTAGGCAGACCAAGCAGCTGTGGCCTGAGATCGGCTGGCAGGGGCTGGGCACACACACAGCTCTGGTTATAGCTGCTCCCGAGAGGGAAGCCCAGCCTCCTGGCCCTGATGGCCAGTGATCCCAACACCATGGAGAGGGACAGGCTTCAGCTGGGAGTGCCACTGCCCTGAAGACCTGATGGGAGCTCTGGGAGGAGGACTGGAAGGTGAAGAGGAGGGACTTTTTTCCTGATGCTTCAGTTGTTAAAAAAGTTCAGGGACTTTCCAGTGAAGAGTAGGTGATGTGTGTCTTCTGGAATCAGGAAGAACAAAGAAAGAGGGGGCCCAAGTGTCCATCAATTAGCTCTGCATAAACCCCCTGTTGGAATGGATGACTGTGGTGCCACAGGAAGTGCAGCATGCCCACAGAACATTGAGCTGGGACTGGCCAGTGTGCTCCTAATGCTACACCTGCCCCCACCCGTCCATGCTGTCCCCACCCATTACATCAAACTGGTGGCTACGCAGAACTAGGAAGCCCCTATGGGCAGACAGGACATGGACAGAGCTCACAGTATGAAGACAACATAGCATGACGGGCACATACAGACACTGTTGTGTTTGGTGGGGATGAGTCATGGCCCAGATCCCCAGGGCTGGGCTCCCAGCCCCAACTCAGCATTCGCTTAGGAAGAGTCTGCTGCTGGAGTGGGACTCCCACTCCACATCCAGGAAATTCATATGTGAGGACCCGGGGTGCATACTCCGAGCAGGAAAATTTAGATGAGGGCCAGCCATCTTTGGTCAAGAAACCAGAATAAGCACTCTGAACAGAGCACAGGTGGTACCTTTGTGGTGTCAGTAGTGGGATCAGTCACAACTCACTGGGAAAACGAGGCCACAGTGGGATAGACGAGAGGGAGCACAGGCTGGGGTGGGGTGGGGTGAAGGGTAATGGAGAAGTGACACTCACCGGTGGCCCAGGTCTGCCGTCCAAACCTGAAGCTCCCTGGACAAAGGGAACAGTTTGACCAAAAGAAGGGTCAGGGAGGAGCGGGAGGGAGAAAAAGGGATCAGGGAGGGAAGAGGTGAGTGAAGCAGTGACTCTGGACGGACACAAATGCTGGTAATCAAACAAAATGGGAGAAGTAAGCTTGGGAGGACAGGTAATGGTATTCACACGGAAACCAACAACAACATGGAGACACTGAATGCAGTGTGGCCGACTGCTGAGCAGGCTGGGTGGAGATCAGTGCACGTGACTGTTCTGATCCTCTGTGCCCCCAGCTCCCCTTCCTCCTTGGATCCCCTCTCAGAAACCCCTCCCAAAGGGTGGCAGCGCTCTGGGGAGAGGGATAGAGAAAGTGAGCTCATGGGGAGGTGCCTGGGACCTGGGCTGGTGCCTCTTTCCCAGGGCCAGTCTCACTGGGGAGAGACAAGCCTACTTGAGGGGTGGGGACCTGGTGAGGGTGGGCTTCCCAGCCATTTGCAAAGCTGTTGAGACTGGGCAACATGGGGGGGACCCTGAGAGGCTCGTCACTGAGTTACAGCACCTGGTTTTGGACCCTGAGTTGATGCTTCTACTAGTACTCCAGCAGGTGGGAAGAGTTGGCCCTTAAATGACAATACTAATGAAGCTTGGCATTTCTCTGGACCTTCACAGCTGGCAGATCTCAACACAGGCTCAGTCCATTCGTGTTATCCCGGATGAGGGTTCTTTTACAGAACAGGGCTTTGGGCCAGATCCCCAGCTGATTGGGACAGAGGTCTAAGGCCATGTATACCCTGGAGTAAACTGGCTGAAGGTGGGATGGTCTTAAGACCCACTCACTATGCAGTGTCCGGTGTTATATGCTGGGGAATGGGGGCTCTTCCTCAACCTTGGGCTATAAATCTACCCCTGAGATCCACCTCGGAGAACCAGGGGAAAATTATCGGATGATTCCAATGCGACAAGCCAGGGAGAAGGAAGCAGGACACTCCAGCTCAGTAAGGACCGAGTTATTGAAAGCTGCTTCCAAATGGGCCTCGGACTTAGGATTTAAAGGTGGAGGAATGCCCCCAGGAAAGAGGGCAGGGAGCTGCTTCCTCCTGGGGGAGGGGCGTTGGATGTAGGACCCTACAGAGCCTTGCTTCTCAGTTTGAGGCCCTACATACTTCTGGGATGATCTTGACTCATAGCGTAGAGAGCTGTGGTTCTCAACCCCAGCTGCAACACCAGAATTTCCTGAGGCGGATGTGAAATGATACAAGTGCCTGGGTCCCAACCCAGCCCAAGTCAACCTCAGTCTCCAAGAGTGAGGCCGGGGTAATGGCAAGCTAGGTGGCCCCAATGTGCAGCCAGTGTTGAGAACTACTGTAGAAGGCAAATAGGAAGAAGTCAATAAGATATGCCTGGAAAAACATGCTGCTAGTATATGGAACATAATATCGAGGTGAAGCCCCCAAACAGAACATTAGCTAAATATCCACAAACTTTGTCTCTTCATATTAGTACGGAGTTATCTTGAGAGGTCTGGAGCACGGACTGGAGGCTTTCAGGCCCCGTGTGGGCCACTGACATATTTTGTACGGTCAGTAGTGCTGCAAGTCATTTCGATTGAATGTAAGAGACTAGGGAGATTTCACATAAAATGCCAGATTATCAAAAGTAGAAAAATGAGAGATAGACGGGGCACCGTGTCTTTCCTCTGGCATTTTCTTTGTGGATATGACTTGTTTGGTCTCCTTGCCATTTGCATTTTGGTGGAATTCTCCATGTTCACTAGGCTTGTTGGGGCCAGGAAGGTGGACAAGGAGAAATTCATGGTTGCGTGGGGGCAGGGACGCTCTTTACTAGGAAGGAGTTCTTAATCATTCCAGATGCAGCTTCAGACATGGGGAAATGTCTGCTAAAGTCATCAGTTTTCTGTAGTCTGTCAAGCGAATCAGCTCCTTAAATGCTCCTGCATTTGATGCACTAATAGGAGGTAGTTGTATCTTTTGCTCTTGCTTTTCGGTTGCTGGGATTATATTAGCCAGACCTTCAAGCTCTGCCAAGCTGGGGTGATTGGGCTTCCCATTGTCCCCCTGCTCTTTACGGCCTCCTGGGGTGGGAACTGGCCTGGCGCCTGGGACAGAGGAAGCCCTAGTGGCTGGAAAGAGCCCCTTGCATGGCTGGGACCTCAGTGGAGGAGCAGCCTCTGGCCTGGCCTGGCCACCGACTTAATATGTGACCTCAGTGAGCCACTTTCTTCTCTGGATCCCTCAGTGAAGTGATCAGATGGGTCACTGAAATCCTGTCCAGCTCTTGATAAACAAACCAAGAGCAGTGCCAACCTCAATGGGTTTGAGGGAGGGTGGAGCCCAGGGTGGTGGGTTGTGCTCTCCTGGACAAGGTGACCAGCCCACCAGCCCACCGAAGCTTGGGGCAAAAGGGTTTGTCCAGGCCACACCTGGAAAGGCCTTCTGAGCGAGCCCCGTCCGCTGACCTGAGGCCTCCAGCCCCGGGCAGGCGGAGATGAGAGATTTCAGGGAACTGGGATCCAGGTGGCCTTAGCCAGTGGGGACAGGAGAATCTGACCTTTTACAAGCTTTCCTGCTGTGGCCAGGGCTTAAGAGGAGAGATCAGGGGTGCTCTTGGGGCCCCTCCTGGGAAAACAGAAGAGTGATGGAGCAGATGCCTCTGTCCCGCTGCTCCCAAGTTCTCCAAGTGTGGCCACTGCGAGGGTGCTTTTGTTGCTTCTGAGTGAGGCATTCATAGGGCCCAAGGCTGTGCTTAAGCCACCTCTGGCTCTCCAGCTGGGTGCTCTTTGGGGTTGGGGGCCCTGTCTCATTCAGCTTCATAATCCCCCCACACTGAGACCAGGGCCTGGCCAGAGCAGGCCTCAGTAAGAGAATCAGAGCCCAGGGTCTCGCCCAGGTGGGAAAGCAAAACCACATGGAGCTCTGGAGTGCCCGGCACCTTTAGGACCCCTGGCTGGGCTCCTCGCAACTGTCTTGCTGGGTCCACAATACTCACGGGCAATCCCAGAGGACCTCGGTCTCCTTTTTCTCCCTGGACACCCGGCTCTCCTTTTGCTCCATCGAGTCCTGCTTCCCCCTGGAGGAAAGGGAGATGGGGGGAGATTATAGATGGGCATGACTCAGACAACTCATTCCTGAATTCTGAGGTCCTGGGGACAGGAGTGGGTGCAGGGATGGGGAGGGAGAAGGGGAAGGAGGAGGAGGTGGCTGGCCCAGGGATGGCAGGCTGGGGACTCCAGGGATCCCTGGCTTAGCCCATCTCTGCCTCAGCTGCAGTCCCCTGTATCCCTGTGGTGACTTTAAGGTCCCCAAAGGGAAAAGAGATGGTGGAGTGGACACAAACCCACAGGGAAGCTGCACGCCAGGCTTTGGCATAGGTGACAGCATGGCAGGACATAGGGGACCCTGCAGAGGTTGGCTGGCAGATGCCTGAAATGCCACCACCGGAGCCCTGAGGCTCCCAAACAAATTGGGAGAAAAACTGCCCCATAGTCCCCTGGAAAAGGTTAGGGCAGGAGACCAGGTTGTCAGGCCAGCGGGCTCCAGCTCCTCCTATCCATTGAAGTGCTTTCAGGGGGAGTCGGGAAGAGCCCCAGGCCAGAGTGCAGTGGTGCGGTTCCTGGGAGGGGTCCCACGCCACTCCCCTCTGTCTCCAAGGGTCTGGGGCCGGTGACGTGGGAAAGGATTTCATCTTTGCCAAGCACCTAACTTGTCATTCTGTAGGGTCCACTGGTGGATGGGACATTTTTAAATCCAAAGCCTGCCCGGGGTCAATGATGGATGTTACAAGGACCCTAGGCTTTCACTGTGTCCTGATCGTACCCCACTGGCCAGAGGGTCACATGATTCCATTTAGGGAAGGGGTCAGCTGGGCTGCCCGCCTCTGAAGCACTTGCCCTCTTTTCTGCCCTCACTGAGTCCTCTTCCCCCACCCCTCACCCAGCACCTGTCACATGACCTCTTCTTACCTTTGGTCCAGGAATGCCTTGGAGCCCCTGCATTTGGAGTGAAAACAAGGTGCTTCAGAACTATATTTCTGGTTAAAGTAAAAAATCTTTGTCCACAAGTTGGACCACAAACGTACAAGGGCTCAGGGTGCAGAGCCTGGCCTGGATCCCTGCCCAGGGGAGGCAGGAGGTGGTTATGCTTGGGGCTCCCTAGGGTGGGGTCTGAGCTAGGCTTCTCCAACCAGAGACAGAGAGAATCTTTCTGTGTCCCTCACAGCTGACCAGGAGTCTCATGAAAGACTGAGAGGAAACACGGCAAAAGTTGAATAAACTAATATATGCAAAGTGCTTAGAGCAGAGTCTGGTATGTAGTAAGTTACAGTAAATGTTGGCTACTATTGTTATTACTACTACTACCTCTACCAGTGACAGCAGGTGACACAGTGCCTGAGAGAGGCATGAACCCCAGAGGCAAGAACGAGCATATGTTGGTTTGGGTGCTTGGGAGTCCTCTAGGTCAGTGGTCGGCAAACTCATTAGTCAACAGAGCCAAATATCAACAGTACAACGATTGAAATTTCTTTTGAGAGCCAAATTTTTTAAACTTAAACTATATAGGTAGGTACGTTGTTATTACCTTAATTAGGGCACTCCTAAGCTGGCCTTTGCTAAAACGTCCTCAATCTGAGGGGTCGACCTCAGCGAACGTACCCCCAGTTCTTCTAATGCCACTTCTTCAAAATAGACTCGTCCAGGCCGAAAACCGACTTCTGCGCATGGGCCACGAAGTTTCAATCGCACTGTACGTGTGCGCCCACACGTGGTATTTTGTGGAAGAGCCACACTCAAGGGGCCAAAGAGCCACATGTGGTTCGCGAGCCGCGGTTTGCCGACCACTGCCCTAGGTGCAATGCAAGGGGGTCTTTTTAAAGGCCTTTTCTTATCTGTAACCATGGAAAGGCCCATCCAGTGGGGCTTGTTTTAAATGGTTCACTTTCTATTTTAATCCCAGTCTTCTTACTGGTTGGTTAGCAGGAAGAGGGAAGAACAGGAGCAGATGTCTGAGGGCAAAGGTCAGAGCTTAGTGACAGCGACTTCTGCAGAGCAGTGGGACCTGACCCCGGGCCACCATGCCAGTCAGCCGTTTCCAAGAAACCAGGCAATGCCCAGGCTGCTTAGTGTCACTGGAAGGGTGTCTGTCTGACATGGGAGGGGAGGAGGAGGGGTCTGTGGATGAGAAAAAACCCCACCTGGGAGGAGGAGGTGGCTGACCTAGTGCTGAGGTTGAGCTCAGTGACTACCCTGGGGAGGGGACATTAGGGACCCAGTCACCGGGACCTGAAGCATTGATGAGCCCTCCAAACTTACCGGAGGCCCGGGAGGCCCCTCTGGCCCCGGTGGCCCAGGAACCTAGAAGTGAGAGGGAGATGGTTAGCCCGCCGTGGCTGTTACGCTCTAAGTGGCCCCGCCTTCCACTGGGGTCTGGCTGGAGACCGCAAAGCCGAAGGCGGAACTGCCTGGCACGCAGTCTCCCAAAAGAAGGCTGAGAACATGTCACAAACTCATGGCAGCTCATTAGCCTTCACAATGTTACAAACAAACGAACGATGGCTGGCAAATGTCCTTGAAACATCTCCCCGCCTTAGATTTCTTTTAAACTAGAAAATTTGGCAGCACTGAGTTCTCGTTCCTGCCTGTCAACAAATGCCGGGAGCTGAAGGAGAGCTTTCCCCTCCAGGTGGGCCATGAGGTCTTCCATCCGACCCAGGCCCCACCGCTCCCTCTTGTATTTAACCCAAACCTCTTGTATTTAACCCAAACCTCCTGGCCCTTGTTGGCATCTGAATTTGAGACCCTTGGCTTAGAGGAGCAGAGATTGGTTATCTGGAATTGGGGGAGGCTGAGATATTGCCTCAAGTCCCCCCAAATTTGTAACAGAGACTGCTGGTCTCTGCTTCCCTTCAGGGCAGGTTGAAGTAGAAGAGATGTGGATGGGACAGTGCAGTTGGGGACCCCAGAGCAGTCTTCCTCCCTAAGGGCATGGTATTCAGTGCAGGTTCTGTCTCTGACGAAGATGGACACCCACTTGTCTATAGCAGCCACCCAAGAGGTGGAAGGAGACCTGCCTGCTCCTCTCTGAGCTGGTCACCCCACTTCGGCTTTGGGGCTCTTCTCACCTCTCCAGGGATGGAATCCCCTGGGTGTGACCATGGTGGAGACCCTCTGTCAGGCCACCATCGAGGGAGGCCCCGCACTGGGCAGATGGAGACCCTGACATCTCTTGGACCTGTGGCCCTTTCAGCTCCAGGATATACAATCTCCTTGCAGGGAACTCAATCTTTGGAAACTCTACTTAGAAAAAAATTACTGCTTTTTCTTCTTCTTATAAATAAATAAGTCATGTATCCCGATTGTGGTAGTGGTCATACAAATCTATGCATGTATTAAAATTCACAGACGTGTACGCACACTTCCCCCAAAGTCAACTTTACTATATAATAATTAAAATATAAAAAAATTTAAAGTAATGCAAACCCATTAAAGTATTTTATAAATTAAAAAAAAAATTGAAAGGAGGCGAAGGAATGAATATCTGAGTACTGCTAATATTTTGCTTTATTTCCTTCCACTCTTTTGATGCATAAAATATATTTGAATATATGTGCATACTTATGATATTGTATATCAATATATATATTTCATTTCACATATATATACATATATACATATATATATGTATGTATGTATGTATGTATAACTTGATTCTCTGTTCTTTTTCACTTAACACAAAACCCGCTTTTCCATTTTTTGAATGTTGCCCACAAGCCTCCGTTGTATGTCAATGTGCTATTCATTGAGTGCAGAGTTGCTACTGAGCCAGGGCTCGGAGCAGTGCTTGGCACAGGGACGCTCCCAACATGAGGACTATTATTACCATCCGCATTATTACCAGAAGTTATTTAATCACTTCCTTCTTGTTAGAAATGTAGGCTGTTTCCAATTTTTACTTTAAATACGTCTGGAAGGAACACTTTGGGGGGGATAATGCTTTTCCTGAATTTCAGAGCATTTCTGTAGGAGGCTATCCATCTGCAAGTTGCTATACAATCAGGTCTGTGTCACTAATGCAGACGGGGCTTGGCGACACTGAAGGTGACAGGAGAAGGCGTGGCGGTCTCTCCCTTAGCTCCGCGGTGGTGTCTGGGGGGCCCAGGTCTTCCCGCCAAGCATCCTCTCCCTCATGTGTCCTTGACCTCTTGCTTTCCTGGCTCTTTCCCTCGATGCTACATATGTGAACCTGGCTTCTGTCCCTCTTACGCCACTGTTCCCTCCTCTTCCCTTCATCACCACACCTCTCAGAGAATAATGCCTCTCTCTCTGGGAAGCCCACTCAGCAGCTTCTAGGCAAATTCCTACAGAGTCTTCGAAATTCTGCGAAATGACCCATTCTGGGCATGCTCACCAGTCTCCCTGAGCTGGTGCCATTCTAGTACCCACTACTGGGGACAGTTTGCTGCACAGGCTCAGCCCCGGGAATGAAATATGGTGGGTGCCCAGTGAATGCCACTGAGGGACTTGATTAATGGGGAGACCGTGGAGCAGACTGGGGGCTCCATGGCTGGCCACTGCGGTGCTCGGTGAACGTTCCCCTCTTCACCCCCTTCCTGAGCAGGGCAGCTCTGAGTTTCATCCTAGATCATGGAAATTCTGCCCACACTGGAGAGACCAGGTGTGATGAGGTTCCTGCCCATGAACCCCCGGGACACACAAGGCAGAGCAGGCACCACCTACCTCTACTCCTGGGTCACCCTTTTCCCCAGGTTCTCCTTTCTCCCCCTGTGGGCACAAAACACCATGGCGTGGATGCCAGCACTCAGGGGAGCCTGGGACAGACACACCCTCAAACCTGTGACAAACCAGACCGGAGGTAGACTAGGCCCAGGCGTTGGCAAGGAACACCTCAGAGGCTATGGGGGTGGTCAGCCTGAGGGACGGAGATGGGGCGGTGACCCCTGCTTCTAAGAACCTGAGTTTTCAGCATGTGGGAGGAGAGGCTGGCTTTCTCTATGGGTCCTGCAGGGCACAGGCCCTAGGGTGGACCCACAGAATATGGCATACGGCAAAGGCGATTATGTGACCAGCTTATGTTTATAGTATACAAATGATAACCTGTGACATATGTTAAGATTATTACACATGTTACACACACACAGAGTTCTGTCCTGCCAGCACACGCGGAGAGACTCCTCCTGCTGGCCTTGGCCTTGAAGAAACAGGCTGCTATAATGTGAACTGCCCACTGTGAGGAAGGCCGTGTGGCAGCCTCTGGGAGCTGCGGGACCGGTCCTGCTATAGCAGGAGCTGATGATGCCTGCAGCAGCGAGCCTGGGTGGGGTCCCAGCTCTAGATGAGAACGCAGCCGGCCGACACCCTGACGCAGCCTTGGGAGGCCCTGGGCAGAGGACCCAGCTGGGACGGGCCTGGACTCCTGACCCACAGAAACCGTGACATCTTAAGCGCTTGTTGTTTTAAGCTGCTGAATTAGTGGTGGTTTTTTAAACGGCTACAGAAATGAATAAGGCTCCAGAGGCAGAGCGAGGGCCAATGGGGGGATGGTGATGAGGGAACTTGCACCCCAAATCTAGGAGCACTGCCTTCAGCGTGGAGATGCCCCCCCAAGAAGGGGACGTGTTGGAGGCGATGAGCTGCCTCCTGTTGCAGGCTGTCCCAGGTGGGACTGGTTGGCCTCTGAGGTTCTTCCCACTCGTAAGAGGAGGATTCTGAGTCTAAGGTCCTGGCGCCTTTGCACTATGTTGGCTATGAAGACAGGCCGTCATGCTGTGGGCCAAGGGAGTTTATACTCCCCTGTTTATACTCAACTGCCCTCAGGAAGTATCTGCTCATCAAGAGGACCCCCTCCCAGGCCGGGCCGGCCGGGGGTTAGTGTGGCCTCACTGCAGTGCCAGGCCCCTGCTAGGCTGCCAACCACGTGAGGGGCACCCCTGCTCAGGTGCCCCTGTCCGCAGCTGCAGGCTGACCACCTGGATACCCAGCCCTCGGGCCTTACTGTAAATCCCGGGAGCCCGATTGGGCCAGGCAATCCTGTCGTTCCGGGTCTCCCTGGGCCACCTGGTTCTCCTTTCTCCCCAGTTGGGCCATCTAGACCCTAAGGACCGACAAAGATCTCTGTTAGTCAAGCGCAAGGTCGTCACGCTGAGCATCTGTGACCAAATGTGGCATGCACGCCCGCGCCCTTCCTCCACAGGCCGGTGTCTAGGACGGTGACCATTCAGACGGGAGCCACTGATGCCAGAGAAGGCCCCCAGTCAAGGCAGTGGCCTGGCTGGAGTGGGCTACGACCCCGTTTTTGTACAAGCATTCTTCGTGGTGAGAGGGCTTCTGCATACTTTCCCAAGAGCCAGTTTTCTACCCATGACTTCCTCTCCTTCCCAACATCCTAGCGAGGTTTGCAAGGGAGGCATTCTAAGCCACTGCAGAGACAGGGACCGGGGCTCTGCCAGGCTCAGGGACTTTCAGGGGACACAGACAGAAGACGACAGAACAGGACCCAGGTCTCTTGAGGGGGGAGACTGGCCTTGGTAAACCAGGGGAACCCAGGTGAGTCCCCTTCCCCCAACTCCCAGGTTAGCAGCCCAGGCCGCAGGGCTGATGTCATGCTTGGGCGGGGGGTGGGGGTGGGGGCGGCGCATGCAGAAGGGGAAAGCGGTCCAGACCGGCCTGGCACTTACCGGTGGGCCTGCCTGGCCCGTCTCCCCTTTCTCCCCTTTCTCTCCCGGGCTCCCCGGATGTCCGTCTTCTCCCCTTATTCCTGCAGGCCCAGGCTTTCCTGGGGGGCCTTGGGGACCAGGAGGGCCCATATCTCCTGGTTTGCCTCGAGGTCCCTTTAGGAAATATCAACACCACTCATTAGATACATGAGTGGAGGACACAGGAGAGAGAACGTGAAGGAATGAGTGGCCTGCAGGACTGGCTCTTCTGTGCTTGGTTGGACCAGGCAGAGAGCTCGTCCGACTCCCTGTGGGAACCCGAGGGGCCTCCGCCCCCAGCCCCAGCCCCAGCCCCAGCCCCAGCCCAGCCCAGTGTGGCCTGCTGGCTTCTCCGAGGCCGCAGCATGGGGCTCAGCAGGGCATGTGCAGGGCGGGCCTCCCTCCCCTCCTCTCTCCCTTCCCACAAGGTCCACCTTGGGCTTCCTCCGGAGCCCCTGCCATCACCCCCAGGGCCGGGACCAGCTTCAGAGGTTTGTCTTGGGGTGTCTGTTCTCACCTTTTCTCCATCGTGGCCTGGAGGGCCTGGCAGTCCAATCTCCCCCTGTGGCAGAACAACGACAGGTTACTCTCCAGGCAGAGGAGGGTGACAGCTGCCACCGAGCGGCACTTCCTGTGCCAGGAGTCCTCAGGAGGCACGGACACGCATGGTCTCCGTTCCAGGGTGAGGTCCCCAACACCGAGCGTGTGCTCGGCCCCCCGTTAGTGAGGAGTGGAGCCAGGACCGGAGTCTGAGCACCCTTTCTCCGAAGTCCTCGTTTAGCCCCAAATCACGCTGCCACCGAGGGCCCTGGTCACTCACTCCATGGCTCCATGGGAGCGGCGCCTGCCTCTGTGTTCCCTGCAAACCCAGCCCCTCTGTCCCGGCTGCCCCACAGGGCACGCCTTTCACACCAACCCATGCCCCTTCTCTAGCTCAGAGAGGGCGATGAGGGAGCCGTGGCCTCTGTCTTGGAGGCCAGGTGACAGCCAGCTGCACCACCAAGGCAAAATGCTGTAGGCGCTATGAGAGAAGCGAGGAAAGGACAGTGAATTCTGCCCGATAGATCAGGGGAGGCTTCAAGGAGGAGGTGAGCTTTGGAAGGTAGGGAAGACGGGAAGGGGTTTCAGGGTAGGGGGCCTCATGAGCAGAGGGCAGAGGGGCAAACATGCAAGGCCTTCTGAGAAAAACCACAGGGGCTGGGGCAGAGTATGAAAGGGAACCAAGGCAGGGAGCGAGGACGGGTGAGATTGGGGATGGGTTCCAGGCCCTGTTCCCTGGTGGCAGGCTGGGGTCAGTGCTGTGGGTGTGGCTGGGGCAGGGTCTGTGGGGCAGGCTCCGCCACATCAGAGGGTTAGAGGCGCCCAAGAAGGCAGCCAGGGAAGAGCGGCAGAGCCCAGGGCGGGAGGGGTGACGGCAGCTGGGGTGTGGGTGAGCCTTGGTGCACTGGGAGGAATTACAGGCCAGAGCGAGGTGGTCCTCTGGGAAGATGAGAGGGTCACGGGACGAGGGGTGGCCACGGGGTCCCATGCTCAGAGTCACATGCTCTGTAGGGTCAAGACAAGTGTTACCTTCTGGCCGGGGATCCCTGGAGCTCCAGGTGGGCCGATCTGCCCGGGAAGACCAGGGGGCCCCTAGGAAAGAAAACAGACTCAGGAAGGACGTTCTGAGGAGCAGGAGCGTCCTGTCCCCAGAAGGGGATAGATACAGGCTGGCTTAGAGAGAGCAGGCGTTTTCAGACCTTCTGTCAGTGGCAGGAACACTGTTTTTGCAAAGGAGACAATATGGGGACTTCACAATGTACGGGCGATAGGCACGGAGTGTGTCTGGGTTAGAGGAGGTGGTGGGATGCAGAGCCATGCCCAGCAGCCTCTGTCCTCCTGCCTCTGAGGCACCGCTGGGGCTCCTGGGCTCCCAGAAGACACATCTGACCTCCCGGACAGCGACTTAACAACGTGTCCAGGAAACAACCAACCGTCAGCCACAGGTGAAGGTCTGGAACATCGATGCAGTGGAGCAGTGAGGGAAGAACAAGGACTGCACCCGCCATGCCAGGGTGAGGCTCCGACACACGGCGCTGAGCAAACACAGCTGGACGCAGACAGCGACACACGCGTGCTCCCACTCCTAGGAGGCTCAGGGAAGACACATCTAATCCGAGGCGACAGAAGCCGAGTGGTGGCTCCGGGCTGGGGCAGGTGTGGGACTGACCCCCAGCCCCATCCATGGAGGAACTCTCAGGAGTGGCTGGGGTGGTGGATACATGTGTACGGACACATCTGTCAAAACTCAGCAAACTCTACACCTAGAAGGGGTGCATTTTATTGTTTGTAAATGATACAAGGCTGTTTTTAAAAGAAAAAACAACACACGTGTTTCCAGGGAAGTTTTGCTTCCAACAGCTATTTTGAATAATCCATTCTAATGTTTCCCAATGAAGCTCATGGATTCCAGGATCCCGTGGTTAACCCCAGTTTCTGGGACCGGGGCGTCCTGTGCTTGGCGCTTGGTTCTGGGTCCGCATCGTCCCTAAGCGTGTCTGTGGCACATGGCCACGACAGCATTAGGTGAAACAACACGCCAGTAGTTTGAGAACTTGGAGCCCTCCCCGTCCCCTCCACCTGGTGGTGGAGTTTGAACTACAAGTATTCACTGCAGGCGGCCACTGGTAGGCGTGTGTGCAAAACCCAGGCTTGGGATGCACTGGCTTTCCAGGTGCAGGTAATAAAATTGATTTGTAGGAAATGCAGAGGGTCGATACTCATGTTTCAGGGTTATGCACTTTATCAACTGAAGGTGGAGAAAAAGGAGAAACACAAAAGCATCCTCCTCTATACCCCTGTTTCCTTGACAGAGCTGTAACGGGAACCCAGCATTTATACTGTGCCAAGTATACTCTGCCTGGTAGACCAGGGGAGGCTTCAAGGAGGAGGCGCACAGCTGAATCAGCGAAGAGCCACTCCAGCAGGCAGCCATGATCCAGGCTGGGGACAGCTCCTGAGACCCCCTGTTCAGACTTAGGTCACCCTCTGCCCCAGCCCTGCAAGGCCAACCCTAACCCAAAAAAGCCCAGCGTCTGCCTTCATGAGGCAAGACCTCCAGGCCTTGCTTCCAGCCCGCCCTCCCCATGGCCCCAGCGTTGGTGCCCAGTGAAAGTGAAGGAAGAGGATCAAGCTCAGTGTCAGGGTCTCCTAAAAAACCACCACCATGCGATCAGGTGGAGGGCAAGTCAAGAGCCATCTGTCGGATCTCCTCGGCCCAGTCACGGACCGTGGGAGCTGGGCCGCTCTAAGGAGTGGGCTCCATGCCTCCCCCCTCTTCCAGAGGTTTGTGATCAATGGGCAGGGAGCACCCCACATCTCACTGAATGCTGCTCTGAGGCTGTCCTATAACTCGGACAAGCCCTCAAATAGCCTGCGGCCTTTCCTTCACTTTGGCAAAGAGGGAGGAAGCAGCATCCCTTATGCTTTCTGGCCGCTGACTGGGAGCCTCCCTTGCTTCTCCCTCTTGTCCCAGCACCTAGATTTCAAGGTTCCACTGCACCGCCCTTCAGACAAACAGACAGCATAGCAAACTATGGAATCACTAAAAAAATAGACAGAAATTGTTGGCATTAAAAAAGGATGATACAGCTCGTAAATGGAGTCACGTCATTAGAACGTTTCATTTAAAGGAGTGGCTCTCCACCTGAGGCAGTTTTGCCCCGAGGGGGCATTTGGCAGTGAAACATTTTGGTTGTCATAACGGGTGGGTGCTGCTGGCATGAGGTGGGTGGAGACCAGGCGTATGCTGAACACCCTGCGACCCACAGGACCCACCCCCCACAGCTCGGAGCAAAGAGGACCAGCCCCAGCTGTGGACAGTGCTGGGGCTGAGGAGCTCTGCTTTCAGGGGCGGGTGTCATAGGAACTTGAAATACGATAAAATTGATGCAAAAGGGAGCCGTGGTCCAGGAAGACATGTGAAAGGGGAGTGTGTGCTCTGAAGAAACGGGGCCCCCAAACCCTGGATGGGCCAACACCCTGCAGGGTGCCAGGATGCTCCAGGAATGGCTCTCAGTTACCCAGAGCCAGGAGAACGGGCCAGATGGGCCCAGGTGGGAGCCAGGCCACCTGGATGCCAAATGAGCGGGCCATTTGCCCGGAGGCTGCGCAGTGCGACCCAAACTGCAGGCCAAAGGAGGGGAACAAGGGAGCCTGGCTCAGTGGCCTGGCCTCAGGGGCATCCATCCAGGTGTGCAGCTCCCTCTCAGGCCTCCGTGCAGCGCGAGGCCAGCACCTCCCCATCTCTAGCCCCAGGCCAGCCCCACGCACCTGGAGCGCCTCATTGATGCTCGCGTTGCACTCCACCGCCTCTCCTTTCCCTGGCTCTCCCTTGGAGCCCTGCAAGGCAAACACGATCTCAGCCGCCGGGCCAGCAGGGAACTGACCACAGCTGCCGCCCGCTGTCTGTCCACTGGACCGTGGACAGCACTGGCTGCGCCTGGCTGCACACAGGTGGGTCCAGGGCAGCAAGAGGGGAGCCTATCGGGGACCGGAGCGCTCTCAGAGGGTGCCTGGAAGTTGGGCTCCGTGAGCGCCTAACTAGACCGACCTGGAGTGACTGAGCCCAGTCCTGGCTGCAACGCCAGACCTCTTATGGGGACCATCAAGCTCTTCTCCTCGCCCCTCAAGACCCCAGGGGCCAGCCACGTCACTCTGTGGCCCCAGGGAGGTGAGATGCACGTACCTTGGGGCCAGCTGGTCCCTGTTCTCCAGGCGCTCCAGGGTCCCCCTATTGCACGACAAAACTGGGGTGAAATGGGGATAAAGCTGGGTACAGAGAACCTGATGCCTCCAGGTGGGCCACGCGCTAGGGCCACGGGGCGGCCAGGAGGCTCACCCTGGCTCAGCCACGAGGATGCAGAGCTCCCTGTGCCTGAAAGTGCAGGCTCCCCTCTACCCGGAGGCACCCCCTCCTTCCCAGCTCCCCCAACTTGCACTGAGAGGTCTTCTGTCTGTCCTGCATTAGCTGTTAGTGACTCCACCTTGTCTGTCTGCCACCCCCCAGCCCCCTCAGCCAGCACCCCCTTGGGCGCAGAGACGAGCCCTCTGGGTCCCTCATTTCCATTCTGCTCAGGAAGCGAGGGCTCCGAAACCTTTTGCCAATTAATCGTCGGGGTCAGTATTTGCCATGAAGAGCCCATGCGGTACTTTTAGGGGCCCCTCTGTTTGTGAAAGATCCGAACCGCAGGACGGAGCACGGGAGGGGTGGGGAACGGAAGGTATTAGGAGCCCCCAGCCTCCCTGAGCGGGGGACGTGAGGGGACTATTTCCTGTTGGAAACAGGACAGAAGGGTGGGGAATAAATGAAACTGTGGTATATGTTGTGAGAACAAACCACACTTCAGTTGTTCTGGGATAATGTTAACATTGAGGACAATTTTAAAAATAAGATAGAAAGTGAAAATAAAGGAAAAGTGAACCCTTTAGTGTAACTCAACTCCTGAGGACACTGGAGGTGGAGCTCATGGAGCGTCCAGCCACTGCCACCTCCAGGTCACCTGCCCTCCGCCTCCCGCCACAGCACACAGCACCCGCCGCCCCTGCACGGGGAGCAGCTGGCGGGAAGCGGGAGTCCCCTGTACCAGGGCTTGGAAGCTAACAGAGCAGGGGCTCTGGGCCACTCCCAGCCCCACGTCCGGCCCCCGGGCCAGCCTTCGCATGACTGCTGTCTCAGGGGACAGACAGCAGCAGGAGTCCCAGCCGGTCAGCCTGTGTCCGGGGGTCCAGCTGAGGGGTGGCCACACTGAGCTGGGACTTGAACTCCCAAGCTGACCCTCATCCTGCAGCTCTCAGATCTGGGGCCTCCGTACCTTGTCCCCCTGCTTTCCGGGGGGGCCGGCCTGGCCATGGACACCAGCTTCTCCCTGGGGAAGGAGAGAGATGGGGTGAGGGCCTGCAGGGCACCTTGGACAGCCGCTCAAGGGGGCAAGATGTCCTGCTGTTAATGTCCTGGCTATTGTGTCTTTGCGTCTCCATGTCTTTCTCTGCTGGATTCTACGAACTCACCCCATTCCACCTATCTGACTCCTACCCACGCTTGGGCCCAGCCCGGCTCACCTCCTCCTGTCAGACCTTCTTTTACTCCCTTCCTCCTCTGAGGTCTGTTCTCACCACTGGCTGGTGTCCACCCCACACCACCACCCTCCCCCCCAGCCAGGCCATCCTCAGTTCTCAGTTGACATACACGTGCCCAGTTCTGTCTTGGCCCCAAATGTGGATGCCAGCAGCCTTTGGCGGGTCATTTTGGAGCCTGAAACACTTGCAAAGGCACACCTCACCCTGCCTGGGGATGGGGGGGTGAAGACCCTGGGCCTGTGTGTATGTGGGGGGACACAAGGGGAGTTCTGGAGGCCTAGGACAGGAGGGGACGGGGAACTAGGAAGAGGCCCATCCCAAACACGTCACTTATTAAACATCTGCCTGGACTTGGAAAGAGGATGAGATTTCGGGAACAGTCTTCTAGCTTCCCCTTTCTTTTGTCCCAGGGCATGAGGACAATAGTGACCAGGTTTCTCCGACCCTAAATGAAGACCCCAAATGTGCCAGCCATTCATGCCCTGTGGGGTCAGAGGGACAAACTCCAAAACTTGGGGTGTCTGGGAACCCAGTGGCAGGGCTACCTCTGGCAAAGATGGTGCTCATGTCAGGGAGGCTCTGTCCCCGCCACAGTCAGATGACCCTAAATGAAGACCCCAAATGTGCCAGCCATTCATGCCCTGTGGGGTCAGAGGGACAAACTCCAAAACTTGGGGTGTCTGGGAACCCAGTGGCAGGGCTACCTCTGGCAAAGATGGTGCTCATGTCAGGGAGGCTCTGTCCCCGCCACAGTCAGATGGGCCTAGGGCCGTGGTCGGCAAACTGTGGCTCTCGAGCCCCAGTTTGCTGAGCAGCAGTTTGCCGACCACTGGCCTGGGGCATGGGCACGGGGAAGGGGAAGCCACGTCTGCCTGTGAGGTTCCTCGTGCTCCCTGCACTGTATTCCTGCGGATTGTGGCTCTGTCTGTCCTGTCAGATTGCGGGCCAGCCCATCATAGCAGCCCTTGATAAACAGCGGGGTGAATGCGTGTGCTGCTGCCAATCACGTAATTAATCTTTTCCTTATGAGCTAAGAAAGGGACCCCCTCACCTCCCCATGCTGCTAAAATAAACCAAGGAAGCATCTGCTTTGGGAAGCCCAAGTCTTACCCCTGCAGTTTCCACAAAGAGCAAGGAAAGGGTGGGCAGCCAGCTGTCTCCCGGCCACCATCCTGCTCCCCGAAATGCACCAGCACAGGCGGGGCTCAGCAGCTCGCTGGCCTGAGGCCTATTCAGAGCCCAGCGGAGGGGCCTTTCTGGCTGTCCTAAGGCGCTGCAGTCGCCAGCCCCTGACTCGGTTACATCATAGCCATTTGAGTCAATGGGACCAACCCCCTGTCCTGGGTGACATCTCTCCTGGATGCCAAACAGTCTCTGCTCAGGCCAAATGACCTTTCCAGAATCCACGGGAAAACCACACACACTAGGGAAGGCAAGGTGCCCAGGACACAGAGTCCCCAAGAACGGGTGGAGGTAAAGGCCTCAGGAAAACATCTTCCGTGAGCACTGATCCCAGGGGAAGACTCACCTTTGGCCCTGGGGGCCCGGGGAGCCCTGGGGGGCCGGGCTCCGCTCTGCCTCCTCCAATGGAGTTGCCAGAATCACCTTTCTCTCCCTGGGGGTGGAAAGGAAGCGTTATTAGTTCTTCCCTCACAGTTCAGGCTAAATTTGGTAGGGGGTGGGGTGGGCATTAGGGGGCTGTGGGCTCCAGAGGCCTTCAGAAGCCTGGCCTAATCTGATCCAGCCGCAGGTTTTGAGGAAAGAATAGAGCTGGCTATTGAAGGGGAACAGGCTGAAACAAGAGACCTATCAGAACCTGGGTCTGGAACAGTGTTTCTCAAAGGGTGTTCCATGGGCCCAGCTGGCGTGGCTCAGTGGTCACAGTTCGATTCTGGTCAGGCCACATGCCAGGGTGCTGGCTCAATCTCCAGTGGGGGGCATGCAGGAGGCAGCTGATCAATGATTCTTTCTCATGGATGTTTCTACCTTTCTCTTCCTCTCCCTTCCTCTCTGAAATCAATTAAAAAATACATATTTTAAAGGGTGTTCCATGGAACACTTCTTCAGGGGGTTGAAAATTTTTGAAATGTGAAAAAAAGGGGTCTGGTGGCCAAACAACGCTAGGAAAGGCGGAATGAAATGAAGCTTTGCGAGCTCCTTCATGCAGCGTGCTCAGAGCTCTGACAGGCGACAGTGCCTGTCACTGTTTAAGGGGCCCCTTACCCAGCTCTCCCACACTTTCCTGACCTCTAGTCTGTTTTCAAGTGCACTATCTTATGGAGCTCATGTACCACTGAGCACATTTTCAGAGCTGCTGCAAAGAAGTCTGACCAGGTCATAGCCATTGAATTCTTTGAATTTGGGCACTGTTTGGCCAATCAGGGCCTCCCATGTGGTACCTCTTTACCCCCCTCCTCTGGGAGGGAATGTGGGCGGGGATGGACATCAGACCTCTACACACATCTCACCATGCAGAGCTCCTCAATACCCACCTTCTGCCCCAGGAGGCCAAGGCCCGCGGCACCCTTCTCACCCTGCGGAGAAATGCAGACAATGTGAGTTAGAAGAGCTCCTCTAGGATGTGGGTGAGGCCTCACCCCGCCAGCACCAGGCCTTGGCTTTCCTCTCTCCCACCTCCCTGCCCCTCCGTGCGCTGTTTTCTGAAGGACTCCACTTCCTGAAGGGCCCCCACCTGGCCCAACTCCTTCTTAAGACCACTTCACACTGGGGACAGCCTGCATCAGTGCTCCCCTCTCCCCAGGTGGGCTGGGCCCCCATCACTGGTGCGAGAGGGGAGCCAAGAGTGCTTAGGCCCTTTTGGGGGAGGGATGAGCAGCGTGGAGCCGGGCATTTGGGAAGCTCTTCCTTTTAACCACCGTGTTCTTTCCATGTTCATGTTCATCGGGACCAACCACTAGAAGCCCCTGGTTTCCAGGGAGAGCCTTCTGCCCGCCTCCTCCTGCCTCTAAAGACAAGACCAGCCTGGCCGGCATGGCTCCGTGGATGAGCATCGATCTATGAACCAGGAGGTCACGGTTCGATTCCCGGTCAGGGCACATGCCACGGTTGCGGGCTCGATCCCCAGTGTGGGGCGTATAGGAGGCAGCCGATCAATGATTCTCTCTCATCATTGATGTTTCTCTCTCTCCCTCTCTCCTTTCCTCTCTGAAATCAATAAAAATATATATATTTTAAAAAAAAGACAAGACCATCTAACCAGGACATCTCTTTGGAGGAATATTTTGAGAAGCTTGCCTCCTGTTATGGGTTGAATTGTGCCTCCTCCTCCCCATTTGTATGTTGAAATCTGAACTCCCAGACTTCTCTCAGAATATGACCTTATTTGGAAGTGGGACATTGGAGGTATAATTACGTGGAGGTGTAATTACGTGGAGGTGAAATTACGTGGAGGTGAAATTACGTGGAGGTGAAATTACATGGAGGTGAAATTACATGGAGGTGAAATTAGCTATGTTATGAGGTCATGCTGGAGTGGGGTGGGCCCCTAATCCAATATGACTGGTGTCCTTATAAGAAGGGGAAACTTGGACAGACTTGTGCATGGGGGAACACATGTGAGGGTGAAGGCAGAGATGGGGTGATGCTTCTATGAGCCGAGGACCAGCAAGGAAGGCAGCAAACCCAGAAACCAGGAGACGGGCCTGGGCTAGATGCTCCCTCACAGCCGCAGAAGGAACGACCCTGCTGACACCTGTTCCTCAGACCACTGGCCCCCAGGCGGGGGGACAATACACGTCTGTGGGTTGAGCGACAGTGTTTGTGGTCCTTTGTGGGGCACCCTCGCTAAGGAACACCCCTCGTAGCCAGCTCCTTCCTGAGAACTCTCCCCCTGACCTGGACCACAGAGCCCGCCTCGGTGCAGAGGGGGAGGCTCTGCCTGTGAGCAGCCGCCCTGTGTCGGCGGCAGGTCTCCTGAGGCTCCACCTCCGACCCAGCGTCTCACACCAGGAGCCCCCAGAGCACCCCCCAGAGCACCGCCAGGTCAGCTCCGCTCTCCGCAGCCACGTGTGTGGTTACATAAACTGAGGGCCCGGGATCATAATTTGCTCAGATGTCTCACTGACTTGTCCAGCTGGAGCCACACAAGAAGCCACAAGTCCCTGGGGGTCATCCCCTTGCTACCTGTCCTTGGGGAGGAGCTGAATGGCACAGTGGCCTGGAGCTGGCCAAGGAAGGGAAGGAGGCCGGGTGAGTGCCCACGTGACAGGAGGACAGCAAGTCTTGGGAGCCCAGCAGGCCCGGCTCTGCCTGGGCTGTGCCTTAGCGGGCATGCCCTGAAACAGCCCGGAAGGGATGCAGTGCTGTCTATGGGGGTCCTGGGGGTGGGGACGGAGTGAGGAAGGGCCTTCCTTCCGCTGGGTTCTCCTGGGTAACCCATGGCTTTCAAGGAGGGAGCGTTGCTCTCGAGTGGAATTTCTGCAGCTTTGCAGGCTGTCCCCGCACTGCCCTCCTCCTGAGGGTACACGCACCCATTGCACACGGCAGGCAGCACCCTAGTCACGGGAGGGAGAGGTGGGCAGGGAGTGGGGGACCGGCACTCTCAAAGGCACAATATCCTACCCTCTGCCCCCTCTTTCCCGGCAAACCTGGGGGCCCCGGCTTCCCTGCCGCTCCTGGGTCTCCCTTTGGGGTAAGAAGAGAAAGTCACTCCTAAGAGATGGAGGTGGGGGTCATGAGGGGTATAATGGACAGCGATCATAGACCGGTGTTTCTAGAACCCTAGTCCCATAAATTGCTCCTCTGAAAAAAAGGAGGCCCTGGTCAAAAAAGTTTGACATTCTTCACAAGATATTACCTTTTCAGAGCTCTCCAATGCACATTTAGCATGTTAAAGGCTCTGAGAAGGCCTGCACGAAAGAAACCCTGTAATATTTTTAATCCCCTATTTCCCAAACATATTTGACCATGGGAACTTTTTTTCATGTTACATCCCTTAATGAACTAGATGAGAGACAGCCCCCAGGTGCAGGGGACAGCAGCTTCTGGCTGCTGGAGCAGGTGTGCAGGCAAACCGGCCGAGCTGTCCAGCCAGAATCCAGGAGCAGGGAGGCACTTGCTGTGCAACCCTGACAAGCAGGCCCTCCCTGGCAGGCTGTCCTCTGCTCAGTCAGGTCCCCAGCCCCAGGCCCACCTCAGGGGGATCAGGAGTGAGAGACAGCAGCGGCCCCTCCCACCTCCCCTGACACCTGATGCTCCTTGCAGCCCAGACATTCCCCGTGTCAGTACCTTGGCTCCTGGGGTTCCTGGTTCTCCCTGTGTAGGAAAAAAAGATTCAGGTAAGAGAGCGAGGAAGGGAGCAGGAACCAATGAGCAGAGCTACTCTGGCGGGGAGGCGAAGCACCTGGCCAGCTCAGCCTTTCCTCGCATAGACCTCAAGCCACAGGCCAAAGAGGCCTCCTGGACCACCCCCTATTCTCCACCAGGTGAGGCGTGTGGCTGGTGTGGGTGTCAGTGAGGCCCCGCAGGAGAGGGAGAGGTGCCCCTGTAAGTGGACCTGCCGGAGAGCCACACCGAGCACTTGTGCTGCTGGGTGTTTCCACCGTCCGCCTGCCAACCACATGGCAGTTAGGGTGGGCTCAGGAGGAGGAATCCAGCTCCCCTCCCTGAAGCTTTGCAAGCAAGTAGCTGTGAAATTCCAGTGTGAATGAAAGCTCTGGCTCCTCTGCATGGCAGGAGGGTGAGACCTGTAGCTGAGAATGGTAACCCTTTGCTACTTCCTTGTAAGCTTAGGTAGACACTGGCTGTTCACGTTATGTGTGCATGCACCTGACATGGGCTGTTCAAGTTATGTGTGCATGCACCTGACATGGGCTGTTCAAGTTATGTGTGCATGCACCTGACATGGGCTGTTCAAGTTATGTGTGCATGGATCTGACATGGGCTGTTCAAGTTATGTGTGCATGCACCTGACATTGGCTGTTCAAGTTATGTGTGCGTGCACCTGACATTGACTGTTCAAGTTATGTGTGCGTGCACCAGACATGGGCTGTTCAAGTTATGTGTGCATGCACCTGACATTGGCTGTTCAAGTTATGTGTGCGTGCACCTGACATTGGGCTGTTCAAGTTATGTGTGCATGCACCTGACATGGGCTGTTCAAGTTATGTGTGCATGCACCTGACATGGGCTGTTCACATAATGTATGCGTGCACCTGACATGGGCTGTTCAAGTTATGTGTGCGTGCACCTGACATGGGCTGTTCAAGTTATGTGTGCGTGCATCTGACATGGGCTGTTCAAGTTATGTGTGCATGCACCTGACATGGGCTGTTCAAGTTATGAGTGCATGCACCTGACATGGGCTGTTTAAGTTATGAGTGCATGCATCTGACATGGGCTGTTCAAGTTATGAGTGCATGCATCTGACATGGGCTGTTCAAGTTATGTGTGCATGCACCTGACATTGGCTGTTTAAGTTATGTGTGCGTGCACCTGACATGGGCTGTTCAAGTTATGTGTGTATACACCTGACATGGGCTGTTCAAGTTATGTGTGTATACACCTGACATGGGCTGTTCAAGTTATGTGTGCATGGATCTGGCAACAATGCTGCTTCAGGAGAAATGTTTCCCAACCCTGTCTGCCCCCTCCTTGGTTCAGGGCCTCTGAAGCCCTAACGCTGTCCTCCTCTCTCCATCTCTCCCACATTACCCCTCCGTGTTGAATTACAGCGTTTCACTGACCTTCATCCCCGCCACGGCGATGCCAGGAGCCCCCTGGCAGAGAGAAGAAAAGGCATGGAGACGTCTGCACTCAGGGGGAGCACGAGGAAGTGGCCAGCTCCCAGCCTCCCCTTGGGGAGATGCTCATGCCTGTGTACCGCCCAAACCCACGGGAAAGGAGGGGTGCTGAGCTTGGCACAGGGAGGGTGGGCCCCGAGGAAGAGGCTCTGTGCAGCACAGCTGGGTGCCCAGGGTCCCACCCACCTGCTCAGCACCTAGGCTGTGCTGGGGGACACAGTGGGCATCATGGCAGGATGCCCACAGGTGAGCTAGATGGGCATCCCTGGGGTGAAATGAGGGAGGGCTTCGTTGGGATAGGAGAACAGGAGGAGGAGATGGGGGAGGGGAAGCAGGGAGAGCCCTGGGGAAGGGGAGAAGAGTAGATGGAGATGTCACCACGTACGTACAGTGCCCCCCAGTGTGTGTCAGCAGGCTTCTCCTCACAGGAAGATCTCTGGACCTATGCCCTCAGGGACTGGGGAGCAGCTGGCAGTGAACCCCATTCCTATATCAGCTCAAGACCACTGACTTTTGAAGTGAATAGGCTTCCAAACACACTGCTTAGTAAACCCCATGTGGAGGTGATATTAGGGGGTGTCTACTCCTCACATGGGTCTCAGGACTGCAGCCAGAGCTGGGGTTACGCAAGAAGATTATTATGGCCCAAAGATGCCCAGAAGGAGGCCTGGCCATATCAGAAGGGCACCGGTGCATGATGGGGCCAAACAGGAGCCAAACAGGGCAGCCCTGCCTGGAAGGACCGGCTGCACAGTGAGGGGCGAGGGCCTGGGAGGATATGCACCCCCAGTCGTCACCGTGGGACGTGGGAAGGAGGAGCGTGGGAGAGAGGTCGGGGTGGGGGAGGGGCTGCCCGGGTGTGTGAGGGGCAGGTACCTTCACTCCGTGTTTGCCCGGCATCCCCGGCATGCCCCGTTCTCCCTGAAGGAAGAAACAGAGAAACGATGAGAAGAGGACCAGACTCCGGGCCCCGAGGATGCCACTGAGAACGGCTGGTCTGGAAGCTCGGGGCAGTTGAGCTCTGGCAGTCACCGCGGGCCACTCAGCTATGTGAACTCGCACAGGGGTCCAAGGCATGTGTCACAGTGAGGGAAAGGCCCCCAGAGAGAGCGGCCACCACAGGAGCCGAGTCCTGTGGGGATGGGGGGCAGGGAGCTGTTCAAGATCTACTGCCAGCGGGCCTGGAACTCAGTGCTGCGGGTAGGAGCGGCCCTGGGCCACGCACCGACTGCACATCCTCCCTCCCGCCCCCGCCTAGCACTTCTTGCCCGTTTTCATTCCAGCCGCCCTGCTCCTCATCTCCCTCTGGGGCTCCTTTTCCTCCAGGTTCCTTGGGTCTAACGCCTCCCAAGGGCCTGTGGGCCTTGGCCCCACATGGCAGAGGGTCTGCCTGTGCTTGGGTGGTGGGGGACTGGAGATGAACCAGGCACCACCTGGCACCTTCCAGAGGCACCGGGACAGCTGTCGCCGCTCCAGGATCTCGTGGGTGTGCGCTACCATCTCAGCAGTGTCTCCAACCTCTCGTACCTCCCCGTGAAAACGCCACATGGATGGGAGGGGCTGAGCTCAGGACACACCAGGAGGAGAGGGGGTGGGGATGCCAGCCAGCGGCAATGGAGGCTGCCGTGTTAGGGTGACCAGGGGAGGAAGAAGAGCAGCTCCTGTCTCCAGGAGTTGAACCCCTACTGAAGCCCCAGGCAGGGCCCAGAATGCCATGCAGCTACAGGTGACAACGGCCGGCCTGCTGCAGCTTCCTGCGAGGGAAGCCAGCGCTGATGGTGGCCATGCCCAACCCCGCCCGGCCCAGCTTCCTCTCTCAGGCCAGCGGGCACGGCCACAGGCCATGCTGCCATTCCCACAGGCTTCAGGCAGAGGGCGAACCTGGTTCCACCTCAGCTGTCCTCACCCCTCTCTGCATCTGACAGGCAGTCCCAGTCCACCCCGCGCTCACCAAGGACAGAGAGTAAGCTGGACAATAACACTCCCTACTCAGAACAGCCGCTGCCTGGCACTGACCGGAAAAGGGACCGGGATCCTGAGCATGGCCTTCCATCCTCGCTTCCTTCCCAGCCTCATCTCCTCATAGCCTGACACCTCTTCCTGCTTCCCTGAAAACACCACCCACTCTCATGACTTCCTGTTATTTCCTCAACACCCTACTCATTGATGGTCACACACCATCTGCTCTGTGGAGCCTTTTGCTGTGCTTCAAGCCCAGTGCTGGTTCCTCAGTGCAGAAGGACCCTGTGCATTTGTAATCTGAGCACAAAACCACGTCGGCCTGGGATGGCTCACCTCCATTCTTTAGGGACAAGTCTCTGAATTCTGCAAAAGGCTCAGAATCTTTAGCTCCAAACCCAGGAGCCCTTTCTCATCCTGACTCACCAGGACCCCTGAGCCACAGGCAGTGACCACAGCAGATAAGCCAGTGGCTCAGATCTGCCCTAGCCACCAAATTCTGGGGACCCCCTCTTATGGGAAAGAGCAGAGAAAGGCATGGCCATTTACTGCATCTGCCATGCATCTGGCACCGAGCTAAGGGCTTTTCATCTTTCTACTCACTGTCCAGGAATCCACTCCGGAGTGGGAGTGGATGTTACTCCTGCTTTACCGGTGAAGAAACTGTAGCTCAGAGAGGCCGGGTACGATCGTCAAGGTCATGCAGAGCAGGGATGTGAACATAGGTCTTTTGTCTGCCAAAGCCCAGGTACCCATTTCTCCAGGCCAACCCCAGTGTCGGCTGGGCTGGTGTTCCACCTGCTTCTGTTAAACACCTTCTGCAGGCTGAAAGCAGGCAACGCCCTCTCTGCTGGAGGGCCCTGGGTCTGTGCCCCACAGGCATGAAGGAGTGGGCCAGGCCTGTGAGGGCAGCTCAGCCCAGAGCCCTGGGGTGGTCTTTAACCATAGGCGGCCAGAGAAAAGTGCGGGTCTGCTATGTGGCCAGCAGAGGGCACCCCAGGACCTCGTCAGGAGTCTGGCAACAGGCCTCCAACCCCTTCCCAGGAGAACCAGCTGAGGCTCCTGTCACTCTTTCCTTTAGGACCAGGAGGCCCTGCTAACATGCCAATCAACCCAAATGAGTTGACTCAGCCCCTAGGACATCAGACAGAGTCCCTGGGGTGGGGCAGAGGTACAAGTGGGAGGTCAGCTTGGGGGTCCCTGACTATCCAGGGATTTCCCATTGGTCCTGCCCTGCCCTGCCCTGCTCCTGTCTTTCCTTCCATGCCCCTGCCTCCCCTTCCCACCTCCATGTTGAGGAACTGATGGAGTCAGGAAAGGCTGGCTGTGTGACTCCAGATAAACCCTGTTCTCTCTCAGGGCCCAGGACCCCTACCTGCAAAGTGAGATTAGACTAAATGCTTTCCAGCCACTCCTGCTCCCCCATCTTCTCCATCGCCCCCAGCCCTGCCTGTGGGAGACCCTTAGGAGGGAGAGAGGCCACGGCCAGGGAGGGGACACTGGGTCTGTTGGCAGGTCCAGGACAGGGCTCCCTGGTGGAGCAGGTTAGCTCTGGGTAACAGTGCGGCTCTCGGAGGCTCTCTGCCTTCTCCTCCTGCCCCCGAGAGACAGACAGCTTCCTGTGCCTCAGCAGGGAGGAGGGTGGGCTCCGGGCGCCTGTTGCCCGTCTCCACAGGAGCCATGCAGAGCAGGCGCTGGGAGTGAGGGCTTCCGGCTAATTGGGCTTGTCTTCAGCGCATGTGGGTTTGTCTGTAAAGACACAGCCATGCCCTCCAGGGAAATCCGGCCCCTGGGAGCCTCCTAAGGAGGCAGCCCTCCTCATTAGCGTGGCTGACCTCTGCCCCCTCCCTCCCTCCTGGGTCAAGTCTCTTAATTCTGCAAACGACTCAGGCTCCCTTGATCCCCATTCTCAGGGCCTCCCTCACTCCCAGCCCTTTGCTGGGCAGGAAGCAGGGGCGCCCTCCGCTGACCCACCCTGCGGGCTCAGTCCACTCTCATCAGCCTCCTTTCTCCAGGGCCTGTCTCCACGGGCGTGCGCCAGCCTGACCTCTGAACTGGGGACGGTGCTGTCCTAACAGAAAGCGCTGGTTCCTGGACGGTGGCCGAGGTGAAAGAGGGGTGAGAGTCACTGTCGAGGACTCGGGGTGGCTGTGGCGAGCATGCCTGTCTGCAGGGAGGAGGCAGCCAGCGCTCCGAGGAGGCCCATGCCTGTGCACACAGCTTTCCCTGGTGGCCCGTCTCAGCGAGGGCACATCTAGAGGGTCCTTTCCTGGCTTTTTTCTTTAAAATGTTCCTTTTTAAAGGTTAAGTTTGGAATCGTGCTGACTTTAGACCCACTAACTCACCGGCTTATCTTAGGTGGGAAGGAGCTCCCATAGTCTGTCAAAGCCCCCGGCCCCCTTTACCCCTCTATCTTTGCCTTCCCAGGTGCTCCCAATGGGGAGCCTCTGGGTGGGTGTCAGCCACTGGGTCTGGCGTCCTGCAGCTGGGGAGTGGGTGCCTGGGCGTTACAAAGGCTCTTGCCCCAGGAGCACAGAGCATGGGTGGCACAGGCTGCTGTGGGACCAGGCTTGTGATCCACAGGCGGCGCCGACCCACCACCTGGTTCTTTAACTGTGGTGCCGAGAACCAATGCCTGATGGCCGGCCTGGGAGGGGTGGGTTCCATTCGTCGTGGCTAAGCAAGCTCTGGGTGAGCACAGGTGGGTGGGTGGGGGGATGCCCTGAATGACCTTGAGGACCTGTCCCAGCCAGGACTTCACAATGTCACTGACTCTCAGCTGGGCCCTGCCTGCGCTCTCACGGCAGCATCAATAGGTGCTCTATGCTGGTCCTGGCCTCCAGGTGAGGGCCCATCCTTTACCCAGACGACAGGATGGAAGCGAGCTCCTTGGAGCACAAGCTGGCCATGCTCCCGTCCAGGGGGAGTGGCCTCCTAATTGGTGATTTACTGTTTGTGGAACAAGCGGGGCAGGGACTTGGCAAGAAAACGTAGTCTGGAAGGAGGTGGGGGCTTCAAGGTCAGCTCCCCAGCCCAGCAAAGGTCAGGCCAGAGAAGCTCGGGGAGATGAATGGACCTCCCTAACGCTGGGTGGGGGGCCCTGGGCCGAGGCAGCTCCACACACAGACTCTTTGTTCTCTGCAGGGAGGAGGAAGACCTGTCTGAGCGGGGAGTGGAGGGCTGGGGGGAGGCCAGCAGGCAGCTCTGGCCTCAGGCCTGGGCCGGGCCCTTTCCTGGGCTGGAAGATCCGGGAGAGGAGGGCCAAGGCCTTTCTCTCACCTACAGCGTTCCCAGGACTGCCTTCCGGGAAGAGGGCAGCTCAGTGCCCTGTTCCTGCTCTAGCGGCTCCGGAGCAGGGAGGCCCGGGGCCACGGAAATGCCAGGCCCTCCGGTAATTGGGGCTGGCAGGAAGTGATCTGGGGAATTACCGGGTCAGGCGCCCCATCGAAGGCCAGGGCTTTGGAAGGGCGGCTGGCTTGTAATCTCGATTTGAGATCGGGTGATTTTGTAGTTAGTTCCAAAAAGAAAAGTCAGCTCTAATTAATCCGTGGACTTTGGAGTGCAGGAGAAATGGGGCCCAGAGAGCGGAGGCTGGGGCTGGAAACCGGCGGAGTGGGAGCCCGTCAGCCTCAGATCTGGAGCCCATGCCTCAGCTCCCTGATCGGCCTTAATTTAAATGGCCTGGCTGTCCCCACTGGGATTTCGTGGCTTTGAAAGAGTGCTGTCCCCATCCCAGACGTTTCTGTATCCATGGCTTCATCTGGACGAAGCACTCTGCCTGTGAGCCCGGGAGAAGCCTGGGGGTGCGCAGGTCCTCTGGGGGCCAGAGGGGCGCAGGAAGGTTCCGGAATAGCTGCAGTGCGGGGCTGAGCCAAGCTGCCTCCTCCTGGCTCTGTTGGAAGCCCCGGGACCATGCCAACTCCCTGCAGGAATCACTGAGGCGAAATCGGTGCCAGTGGAAAAAACACCACACTCCCTTGGTTCTTCAACTAAAATGCACCGTGCACCCCATGCTTTCTGCCGTTGACACTCCACGTACTGCTCACAGAGAGCCGGGGGGCTCAGAGAAAGGCCCGGAACCAGCCACCACCTTTCCTCACAAGAAGGAAAAGAGCTCAACACTCACCCCCTTTTCTCCTAGTGGAGGGGGAACTGCCCACTGGAAATCCTGGGGCCCCCCAGGGCTGTAAGGCCCAGGTGGTAGTCATTCAGAGCAAGGCTTTGGGGTCAGACAGATCTGACTCCACCACTTCCAGGCTGTGGGCTTTCGAGGGTTCACCTTCGTGAACCTCAGTTTGTTCACCTGCCAACTGGGGATGAGGATAGAAAGCACCTCAGAGGGTTGTTATAAAGATCTAGTAAGTTGATGCGTGCCAAGTGCCTCATACACAAACTGGCATGTTGAAGAGGCCCCGTAACGTAGCTGTAATAATGCTAATCGCCATTCTACGGGAGTGTGTCCACCACATGGCCCCTTGCTCTGACCGGCAGATCAGAATGGACACGTCCTCTCGTAGAAGGACTGAGACGGGCCGGGTGGCTGAGCTTCCCTCTTTACACCCCCACCTCAGTGTCCTAGCCATCCAACCACAGGGCTCATGGGCCTGCTCCTCTGGGAGTCCCTGTTTCTCGGGAGCCAGGAGCCTCCAGGAGGGGTGACTGCAGTTACCAGCCGCTCTAGCACGAGGTTCTCACATCCCGCCTCCTCTGGTCTGAAAACGCACAGCCCACAGCTGTGGAAGGGAGTGTGCGCTCAGCCACAGTCCTTCATGCAAACCCGGGGACTTAACACCCAGACCACCACATGCGTCAGACGCACCCCCCTGCGGAGACAGACTGACCAGCTCCGATTGCTTAGAGATAAGCCCTCACCGGGTTTGTGATCCACATACAGTCTGACAATCCTCGTCAATCCCCGTGAAAGAGAGCCAGGGCTGTAATGTTTTAAACACACTTTGTGTCTTGCAACATATTTAAAGGAGATTGGCGTCATAAATTTGGATCAAATAGGTACCACATGGGCGCACAACAATACTCGCAGTGTCTGGGCGGCGGGGCTGGCCCTGAGTGGGGCTGGGGCAGCACAGGGCCCACCGGCCACACCGGGCTTAGATCCCGAGGAGCTGGGGCAGAGCCTGCCCTGCTGGCGGGCTGGCCTCTGGGAGGCTGCCAGGTTGAGTCCAGTTGCTGGGGGAGAGGGGGTGGATGGAGCTAATCATTAGCAAAGTTCATGGGCTGAGAAACATCTCTGCTGAGAGCTAAGTTCCACCCCGTGCTGGAAGAGAGGCCTCCCCACATGGTGTCACGTCGCTGGGGCACAGCAATGGAAGCAGATGCGGAGGGTCCCTCGGTTACCCCGCAGGTCCCCCGCACAGCCTGGCCCCTGGCCCAGCCCTGTGTTCCCACCTGCCAGCACTCGCTCCTCCCTGGGGTGGGGAGCCAACTCGTCTCAGCACCTGTAATCAGGGGCCTCCTTACCGTGCCTTACTCCAAGCAGAGAGCAGAGAGGGGAGAAGAGAGTAACAGGGAAATGATGGGCAAAGGAAGGATGCTTGGGGGCGAGCCCTCTGCTGCTGGCCACCAGTCCCCAGTGCATACCCTCTGGGCTTTGTTGAAGTAACGACAGAACGAGGATCCCGGCACAGGGAAGGCCAGCCCAGACATGAGGGTGCGGAGACCGCCTCGGGCTCCAGGAACACCTACTGACCAGACTCAAGGACAGGCTGGGAGTAGTGGAGGCCAGAGGAGCCTTCCAGAAACCCGAGCGACATGGGAGGGAGCTACCGGCTCACAGCCCTGCAGACTCCACAGAGGCCGCTGAGGAAGGGCAAGGGGGTGGTCTGACAGAGAAAGGAAGGGCGAGGAGCAAGAGCCCAGCAGAAGAAGAAGGGCCTTCTCAGTTCCTCGTAGATCTACAAGGGGTGACGCTTGTGCCCTGGCTAGGTGGCTTGGTTGGAGCGTCGTCCATACACTGAAAGGTCCTGGGTTCGAGTCCCCATCAGGGCACATATGGGAGGCAAGAAATTAATGTCTCTTTCTCACATCTATGTTTCTTCTCTCATCTCTCTCTCTCTCTCTTTCTCTCTCTCTCTCTCTCTCTCTTTCCCTCCCTTTCTCTAAAGATCAATGAACATGTCCTTGGCTGAGGATTTTTTAAAAAAGTGGTGATGCTTGTCACAAGCCTGATGTAGGTGAAGAAAGACCTGGACAAAGGCTGGAGGAGACCCGCACGCCTTCCACAGCCAGGGGCGCTCTCTATGGAGATGGAGCCAGCTCTGTCCCCAGGAAGCCATAATTTCCCTGAGCTGGAAGGGATTTTAATCCTGTCTCCCATCTGATCGAGAAGCTGCTCAACACATGCCAGACTCTACCCGAACCCCTCCGGTGACAGGGAGCTCCCTGCAAAGGTACCCATCAGCACTGGCGCCAGCCCTTCCATGCTGGAGCCTCTCTCGCAGCCCTGAGCCGTCTCTCCCCAGAGCAGGCTTCCTGGGGCCAGGAGCTACCCCCGTCAGCAGCACCACAGCGGTTTTCTTGCAAATGCAATGCAGTCAGGGTTGAATGATCTGTCCCACCGTCTGAGCCCAGGATGGCGGCCCTCATGGGACCAGGGCCTCTATCATCATGATACCCCAGCCCTAAGCGGAGTCCTCTTAGGACAACACTCCCCCAAGCTCCTTTCTGGGAGAACCAGACTCGCAGTTGGCAGGAGAATACAGACATGGCCGTGGTGTGGATGCTGGTTACGGGCATCGCCACGATCCTAGGGCCACCTCTGCCGGCCCTACAGTTTCTCTCTCCACCGCTTGAAAGAACCGGTGTGGCCGCTAATGGGAAAACCGACCCTGCTCTGCACCAGGAGGCAGTAAATTTTGTGAGTCTGTGCGAGTGGATGGAGACAACCGCGGGGGCTATAATTTCCACTTCCTGACACAATGCAAACTTCTCAGTTTATGCAGAACTAATTACAGAACTCAGGCCTCGCCATCTCACCCACCAAACACCCATAAAACGATCTGGATTACGGAGTGTGGGGAATGTGCTTCTCAGGAGTGACTCTTCCCTTTCCACCCCCTCCCCCGCCCCCGTGTGTCCCCCTTTCCGTCCCGCCTCTTTCCTTTCCCTGGATCTCCCTATAGAGCAGTGGTTCTCAACCTGTGGGTCGCGACCCCTTTGGCCGTCGAACGACCCTTTCACAGGGGTCGCCTAAGACCATCCTGCATATCAGATATTTACATTACGATTCATAACAGTAGCAACATTACAGTTATGAAGTAGCAATGAAAATAATTTTATGGTTGGGTCACAACATGAGGAACTGTATTTAAAGGGCCAGAAGGTTGAGAACCACTGCTATAGAGGCTTCTCAGCCAGGGTCTGCAGGCCGGATGGGCTCCATGTAGCAGGTGGTAGCATGAGAAGGGCCCAGACCTGGACATGCAGCCTCATAGGGAGGTTTTAGGACCAAAATGATGCAGGTCCCATTGAAGAACAGCCTGGCAACATGGCGGGCATTCAGTAAGTGGTGGCTTTTATTGAGGCTATTTTTGTTTTCATAGTTACTGTAAAGACCACCACTGGGCCCTGGTTCAAATAGTTTCCCTGTCTAAAATGCCATTTCCCTTGAAATTTGCGATTGAAGGACCCCAGGGGTGGATTAAAAATGGCCACTGATGCTTTGCCACTCCTCCCCCAAGAAGAAGTGGAAGCTGAGTCCCCTCCCGCCGCCCACATGACTTGGCCATGCGACTTGCTCTGATCGATAGGACATCAGAAAATGTGATGCCAGTGCACTGGGACTCGTCCATTTTGAACACTGCCCTGGGCCTGCTGCACTGTAAGGAAACCTGTCTAGTCCACTGGGGGCTGAGATGCCCAGTGGAGGGAGAACAGAGGCACCCGCCCACAGCCAGTGCCAATCACCAGACGTGTGGAGGCGGCCGTCTTGGCCTTTCCATCCGTCATGCAGTGTGGATGTGTGAATGAGCCCAGGGGAGACCAGCGGTACCCTCAGATGGCCAACCCACAGAATCATGAGAAAGAAATCGTCATTTCAAGCCAGTACGTTTGGGATGGTTTGTTACACAGCAATGGCTAACCTACCCATTCACCAGGACTGAGCTCATAGGCTGTCACCTCCCAGAAGACTTCCCAACTCCTGCCAGCCTGGAAGTAATCTCTCCACCACCCTGTATTCACAGCGCTTTGTGATGGCAGCAACCAGCACAGACAACCTTCACCAGGGTTATTGGTGCAGGAATCCTATCTCTCTGGCCTGTGAGCTGCCAGAGAGCGGGGCTGGGACCCTACCCCATCTCCCCAACCCTGCTCAACACGGAGCTCTGCCTGGAGAGCCCGAGGTGCCTCGGTACAGATACCGCCACCAGGTTGGCGGGGGAGACCCTTCTGGGTCAGAGGTCCAGCTGGACCACTGATTTGCCCAAGGCCCTGTCCCCTCCTCAGCCTCCTGCTTCCCCAAGTGGAGATATGACTTCTGTCCAGCCAACCTCACACGCATTATGAAGCTCATGCTGGGTGAGCGTTTGTGCAAAATTATGCGTGTGTGCACCATGGTGAGATCCCACTTGAGTTATGGCTGTGGGGTGAGGTCTTCCCCTCCCTCCACTTCTTACCTTCCGGCCATGGTAGCCCTGGATCCCTGGGTCTCCCTGGAGGCGGGGGGAGAGACAAAGAGAAGATGGTGAGAGGGGTTTTCCTAATGCCAAACCTCAGCTCCTGCTGCTCCCCTCACATTCCCATCCCTCTTCCTCCCCATGTCTAAATCCTCCGACCTCCACGCGCAGCCAACCCTGGAACAATATCAGAGGCTGTTCTGCTCCTCAGAACAAGTCAACTTGGCAGGAGACCTGAGTTTCAGTTTTGGTTCCACCACCGATTCTCTGTCGAAAACTTGGACCCGTCACTTTGCCCCGGGCCTTCAGCATCATTTGTAAAATGGTTGGGCTTCGCAGCTTCTCATCCTCAGAGCCCGAGGTTCCCCGCTTCAGAGGGAGAGTCTGTTTGACATCATGAGCTTCCAGATAAGGTTTCAGAAGAGACCAGATGACCCTGAAGGTCCCTCCAGTCTGACCCCTTATGAAACTTTTATTGGGATGTTGCGACAGTGTCCTGGGCATCAACTCTGAGTTTCCAACCAGACTGTAAGCTTCTTGGAGGTGGGACCAGCCATAGGACTTGGTCAGCCGAGCACACAAATGGTCTATCCTTGCGGGACCCAACCAGTTCCCAGGGGGGCAGTGGTTTGGAAGTGAGCCAAGCCTGATCCATCTCTCAGCTCAGCTCCCTCTCAGCTCCTATGCAGAACCCTTCAGTGCTGCCTGCCCCTCCTCCTGCAGGGAACTCTCCCACCCGCTCAGTGTAGCACCCTGAAGGACCCTCACCTTCGGTCCAGGAGGCCCAGGAAAGCCCTGCGGAAGCAAGAGAAAGGTGAGTGGAGGTGGGTTCCACAGGTAAACAGTTGTGGTTGGTCATATTTACAGGGGATGCTGGGACGGAGCGGTGCTTGAAGAGCTCTCAGGGGCTCTGGATGTGCTAGAGAACAGATCGGAGGCTCCTGGGAGGGTGTCTGAAACCTGCCGAGGGCACATGGGGACACCAGGCTGGTGTCCCTCTCCGGAGCCATGTGGTGCCGTGGGCATCTTCTCTGGGCTTGCCCACTGGAAAATAGGTCAGTGGCATCATGTTAAGTCGACAATGTGGTTTGGTCCAGATCCCCACCCGCCCACCTCCTAATTGGGACCCCTCCCTGGAAAGCCGGCCTTGCACAGTAGTCATGACTTTGCCTTTGGCCCTGCCAGCCTGCGGGGGAGCCCTTCGTCTCCGTCCCACCGGGCGCTGTGACCATGGCAGCCCGCAGTGGGGAGGTGGCGCGGGCCCAGGGCCTGCAGGAGCCCGAGGGAGAGGCCAGGGAAGAGGTGCTGTCTCCACGCGGTGGTGGGAGCGGGTCTGGATGGCAAACACGGGCTTCAGAAAACCCTGATGCCGGACTCTGGGCTGTTTCAATTGGTTTAAAAACACACTCTCTGTTTTTTTTTTTTTTCCTTTATAAAAAAACCTAACAAAGAAAACCATCTGGCTGGGGTTCAGTGAGTGGGAGCCCACTGTGTTTGGGGAGGGCAGCCAGTGGGTTTTGAGCACTTTTTTGGTTTTCCCAGCTTGGTTTGGTTCAGTTCCCTAAATTTCACTTCCTTTCAGGTTTTCCATTTTCCCATCTAGAAACCCATGAAAGTGAGACCAATCTCCTTCCCTGAGGTCCTGGGAGAAATGATGGAAATATTTAAAATCCGTGCAGGGGGTCAAGCTGGGCAGGAGAGCCAAGCCCCCAGCAAGCTAGTTCCACACGGCTGTGCCCGCTTCTGGCCAAGCTGGGTGCCGCTCAGCCGGAGCTGTCGCCCAGCCCGGGGGACCCCACACGGAGCCTCAGCATTGGCAGCTGGGGCGGCTGAGGGGCCAGGGGTGAAGCCAAGTGACCCGGATGTGACTGTACTCATTGAGGGCCATTTGGCAGGGAGGTCGTGACTCAGCAATTTCTCCTGGGGGCTCCTTCCCGGTGACAATCAGGTGTGCAGACATTCGTGTTCAAGGAGACCGATCACAGAAGGGACTCATTAACTGCTCTCAGTAGGCCCGGCAGCCCTAAGGCCCATGTCCTGGGAGATGCCCGATGTGGGAAAGGGCGTGCTTATGATGGCAAATGGGAAAGGAACAGGGTACAAACTGCTGTATCAGTCAGAACATTATCAACCTGGAAATGTTCAGGTGCAGACACATCTAAGGAGGAACGTGGAAGGACTCTCCAAAATGGGAATGATGCTGAACTCTGAAAAGAGACCATGGAAAACCTTTTCTTTGCCTATATCCCAAACGTTTCCTGATGAATATATGAGGTTTCAGGCATAAGAAAGAAACCCAGGTTTGTCTGTGTGTTAGCCACATGGGAAAACATCATTAAGCAGACTTTGTCCTTCTCCCTGTCCCTCCAGGAACAGATGCCATTAGTTTTAGCTCTGGATTGAGAACCCATTTTCTCCAAAGAAGTCCAGATGCCTGCTGGGTTGTTCTCCTGCCCTGCTGCTTTTTTTGCACTAAATTGGGTTGAGAAAGACCCAGGGCTTAGCCAGGGCTTGGGAATGGGTGACTTGGTGGCCACTGGGCTTAAATAGCCACCCGTGTGTGGTCTTGCCTGGAGGTGGGGTGCCTGCTAGCCCCCCTGGGCCCCTGCCAGTCCTCAGGCTCGATGCAGGGGCCCCTGGCTGACCTGGCATCCAGGTGGTGGCTTAGAAGTGGGAAACCTGCACACATCAGAAAAGGCATGTGTGTTAGGGGGTGCCAGCTGGTGGGACAACCCTCCGTCAGAACTCACTGGCCCCAACTCAGGTTCTCCTAAGCCCAGGGGTCAGGGAATAGGCATCAGAGGTGGCCCTGGAGACTTTTTTTCCTTTCTGCAGGGCTGGGGGTAGCCTCTTAGTGACTTCCTCCCTAGAAAGCAATGGCTGGAGTTGAGGACATGGCCTCAGAAGGTGTGTTTTCAGAACCAGAGTGCAGCAGGTGCGTGTGGCAGGGATGGGCAGCTCCTTGCATAGGCCACCCATGTGCAATGGCCTTGCCAGATCCTTTGGCCATTCGGCTGGGACACAGGTTTCTGTTGGTTATGCAAAGTTTGGATGCTTCCAGGGACTTCTTAGGACAAACCTTGGGAGAGGAGGCCGTGGAGAGAGGAAGGGGGTACTTACAGGTGGCCCCATGGGCCCTGGCAGTCCTGGCTGCCCCAGAGGTCCACTTGGTCCAGGGGGGCCTGGTGGCCCTGGTGGGCCTTGGATACCGGCCTGGCCCTGTTCACCCTGAGATTCATGGAAACAAGTGTTAGAGAGAGACCCCAGGCTGTAGAGCGGTTCCCGCCCCAGTGCCATGCACCCGGTGAAGGCCTGCGTGGGCTCTGGGGAGGCGGAGGTGGTGTGATGGCGAGGCTGCTGCAGTGGTGGTTACATGCAGGGACTGGTGGCAGCAAGGAGACGGCCAAGACATTGGGCCCCCAAGAGGAGGGGCTTCCAGAGAGGACTTGCTGGTCCCAGTGTGACAGCCCTGCTGCGGTGGCAGAGGCAGAGGGGTGAGCGAGGTGACCCCCGGTGGAAGGTCTGTTCCCAGCCTGGCCAGGGCGCCAGAGTCCCCGAGGCAGTCTGGGACCGGGGCCTGCCTCCGCTCCCGCCGTATGGCAAGCCCCGTCCTCTCTCTGCATCCTGGCCTCTCAGCTGCCGGACGAGAATAGCAGCCCCTCCTTTCCTAAGGCAGCTCTTTGCCATTTTTGATGATCTGGCTCAGAGCATCAAATCCGATCCTTAGGTCAGAGGTCACAGACTTTTGTTGGGCTCACTAAACAATTGGGCAAGAGATTTTAAGTAAAAAAATTGGATCGATGGGTTCTGATGAAAAACTGGGAGCCCTGGCAGCCAGGCCCATATTCCTGGGGGCAATCATGGCCTGGGTGGAGGAATGGCGCCCCCTTCAGGTGGGGCCTGAGTTCTCCAGTTGCATCAGGATGGATGAGGGCCTAGGAGGCAGGGGCAGCATCTTGTTCCCTCAGAGGAGAGAGAGCCTGGGGCTGGGGACCGGTCAGAGTCATCCTCTTGGCTCAGGTCTTGTGACAAGGGGCCCACCCTGCAGACAGACTAACACAGAACAGCCCGGCAGGTGTGGGAGCTCCAGGCTGGGCTGCAGGGGACACAGGCAGCCTGCAGGGGACGCAGGCAGCCTGAGTTCCAGGCCCGCCCACCCTGCTCAGGGGGATCTCAGCAAGCCTGCCTGATTCCTGCTTCCCGGTATAAAAGGGGAGCTGATGATGCGTCCTGCAAACTCTACAGCGGGAAATGATGATTATAAACAGGAGTGCACAAATGCAGGGGGAGAACTGTAAGATTTTAGCACAGCGGTTCTCAACCTGTGGGTCGCGACCCCTTTGGCAGTCGAACGACCCTTTCACAGGGGTCACCTAAGACCATCCTGCATATCAGATATTTACATCACGATTCATAACAGTAGCAACATTACAGTTATGAAGTAGCAACGAAAATAATGTTATGGTTGGGTCACAGCATGAGGAACTGTATTTAAAGGGCCAGAAGGTTGAGAACCACTGTTTCAGCAGCACCTGCTTGAGCCATCTCTTGGCTGGGACACCCTAGGGCAGGTGGCACCCAGCAGAGCTACTCTGGGCCCCGGGCTTCAGCCTGCCACACCCCGGGAAGCTGCTTGAGGGCACTGAGTGCTCCCGGTGGAGGAGGCAGGTGCAGAAAAGGGTCACAGGTCCCACTTTCAGAAAACAGGCTCAGGGAGGTTGAGTTCCCTGATCAAGGTCACATGAGAATTCAGGGGGAAGGCAGGACCCCAACTCGGAACTCCAGACTATTCCTATTCATTCCAAATAAGCCCCCAGCAAACACTGCTCACCGTCCAACTTTCTACACGTTGGAAGTGACCTCCAACACCATCTGCTAAGCACATCATCTCTTATAAAGTGTCCTGTTTCAACTAATATTAGACCCAGTATTGAAGTATCGTACAGCCTGTCAAATCAATATTGGTTTATTGACAGGAAGGGGACAAACCTTTTTCTGTCCCACCGTGGCTGACGGGCTGAAGCTGCAGCAGGCAGAGCAGGGGCCGCTACACCTCTCTCTCTGCTTGGGAAACCAGGCCAGGGCAGCACAGAGAGTTCTGGCTCGCCCACCCCTTGCTCTGGAAAAGGGAGGCAGTAACATGGGCCCCTCCCGATTTCTTCATCTGAAAGGTGGGGATGATGATGGTTGGACCGCCACGGGCGGCGGCCGATGTGGGATTACATGAGATGATCCACGTAGAATTCTTACGACAGTGCCCGGAACCAGCGAGGGCTCCACAAGTAGCAGCTAAGGCAGCTAAGGCAGCTGAGGCCCGGAGGAGGCCGCTTGGGTTGAGGTGAATGGCCGCTCTGAGAGCAAGGGCTCGGCTCTCCTGGGGTGGGGTCTGGCACGGGTGGGGGTGGGTGACAGTGGGGCGGGCCGGGTGCTTCTCTGAGCTGCCAGCGGGCCCCCTGAATGGCCATGCTTGGGGTAAGCACTCGGAGCACATGGAGGCTCTCGAGGATTTGGCTGGTGTAAGGGGATCCGCAGGCTCGGATGACACACCCGTCACGTGTCCCTCTGTATTTTTAGTTGTTAATTGGAGTGATTTTTTCAGCCTTGTTCTACCAGGTGCCTGACATGCAGGCCTCTGGACTCCTGAGTCAGGGCAGATGGCGGCGCCAGGCCATGCTGCCCGGCTCGCAGAGAGCATCTCTGAGCCCTGTCCTTTCCAGCATCCCTGTGGCCTTGGGGGTACCCCCTGCGCAGTGTAAGGAAGGCTAGGGGTGTGGGTGCCTTAGCCTGAACCCTGGGTCTGAGGTCTCTTACTCTTTGTGACCTGGTCCTACCCAGCCTCATTGGGTTGGTAAGGCAGGAAGAAGGAATCAGTTGCTCAGTGATTACACCTGTTGATTGTGGGCTACAGTCCCTCTGCAAACTCCCTCCCTCAAACTCAGGTTACAAGTGATCAGATGCTGAGCAATCTGCATTGCTAAATATAAAGGGTGTAGGGCTAATGGAGAGAGCCCTGGGTGGGTGGGGGGGTCTGAAGACCTGTTGCCAATTCCCATCCTGCCTCTTGCTGTTTGGGGCACAAATTCCCTTCTCTCTGAGCCTCAATGTAATCTAGCAATGAAACTGTGCTAGGAACTAGTCCAAGTACTTTGCATACCCAGTGACCCGAGGCAGTGGGAACTGTTATTAGCTTCATTTTACAAATGAGAAAGCCCAGGCACAGAAAGGTTAAGTAACTTGCCCCAAATCACACAGCTGGTAAGAGACAGAGAGCCTGGGTGCCCTGCCATGTACTGTGTGACGTTGGCCAACTCACTTAATGTCTCTGAGCTTTGACTTCCTCATCTGAGAAATAAGGATGACCATGCCCGGTTCAGAAAACTGTTGAGCGGCCGAAGTGGAATCAGGCCTGTGGCATGTGGGCCACGGTGGCTGGCAGCACTGACGGCTGTGGTGGTGGCTCCTGTGAGTAGTAATGGGCAGCAGGAGTTGGGGGTCTGCTGGGCCGGGTGGTGTGTGTCTCTGGGCCTATGGCATTGACCGGTCCATTTTTGTCTGGTTTAATTTAACCAAAAGACAGTGAGGTCCCGTCTTTGTCTGCAGCCCCCGCTGGCCTCTCAGGCCCAGAGACTCGGCCCCCCGGGGAGGCCCCAGGAGGTCTGGGCAAAGGGAAGGGGTCTACCTGGAAGGTCCGCCTTTTAATGACTGGGGGTGGAGCCAGTCGCACTGAATTGAGGAGAGGCAGCAGCTGAGGAGAGAGATGAGTTGGAAGGCCAGAGGGCAAAGGCCAAAGGTCGCAGGTGTTTCAGGAGGATGCCAAAAGTCACCAGGAAGGCAGGGCGGCCAAGAGGGAACGGAGGAGAGATAGAGAGAAGAGAGATTAGCGAGTGTGAGGCACAGGGAGGGGAGGCATGGACCCAGCACTCCCGAGGCTTGGGGGGCGCAGTGCTGAGCTTGCCCTGGGAGGGGACACTGTCCCTTAAAGGAGGAGCCGCCCTTGGGGTGTTGGCCAGCAGCATCCCCCAACAGGGAGAGCGGTCCTCCTTGCCTGGGCCTGCCCTCGGTGGCCACGCTGGGCCGAAAAAGCCGCCTGACACACAACCCAACATTGCACTGCTGGCATTCCTGGTGGCGGACAAGGGCTGCTGGGCTGAGGGCGGGCGACTCAGAGGCTCTGGTTACGTAGGAGCCACAGGACCAGCTAAATTGGTACTTGCAGCCAGGCTGGTGTGTGGCTGCCTCTGGGTGCTCTTTTTGGTTGAATGAGAAAGGCCGATGTCAGCGAATCTGGGGAGGTGGTCGAGGGCAGTGCCAAGCCCGGTTCCCGGGGGCTGAACCGACCGAGGGTGTGGCCAGTGTGGGCACAAGATAAGTGCTACCCAGGTCTCACCCTGGGGCTGGACCGCTTGGAAAATAGAGGCTGGGCAAGGATGTCCAACCCCTTGTTTGGGAGAGGCAGCTTGCCATCACAGGATCGCATGTGACTTTCATTTCTGGACAATCTTGCTGCTTTCAATCTCTCTACCCATGCAGCCGAGCACCCAGCGGCTCTAGGAAGTGGCAAGACCCAAGTTAAAACAAAGATGGCATCTAACCAACCTTTTGTTTGGAAAGCATTTTAAGTCACACGAGGCCCCTGGGATGAATGTTAAGAACCAGAGGCCACCTGGGCTGAGAATGTGCCCAGCTGGGGGCGTGGGTGCCTAATCATGGCCTTTCTAGGTCATGTTCGCCTTCCCGGGGCAGCTGCTGCACCCAGAGCCGCGCCCCCCCCCCCCAACCACCACCAGGGGCCCGAGGACGTGCAATGGTGGCCTCTGCGTTCAGGAGCCTCTCAGCAGAGCGGGGCCAGAGGCCTCCCGGAAGAGAACCTACAAACCTTCAGGGTAATTATCTGGTTGGAGTGCAGAGCTGCTAGAGAGCCGCTTAGGTACTCCTGGGAGGGAAGGGCAATGGAGGTGGTGAGATAGGGCTGGAGGCAGAGTGAGTGCCGGGGCCGCAGACACCGCTCCCCCGCTCCCCTGCTCCCCGTCCCAGGGGACTCCATCCCATCCTTCCGCCCCTGCTCCCCTCCCTGCAGGTGCTGCCGGCTGCAACAGAGGCAGGGACCAGCCTGGATCTCTTGGCATCTTGTGGATGTGGAGGCCTGCCACCCACCATGCCCGCAAACCCCCAATCGGCCACTTGCCCTAGAAGCCCCCTGCTTTCATACCCACTTCCAAATAAGCAGCAAGTGCCGCTCCCCACCCCGCTCTCACCCCTGCCTGGCCTGGACCCCACGCTGCCACGGTCATAATGCTGTGTTTGGCTGCACCAGGTGGCCAAGGTGCTTCTGGAGCCTTCTGTCCCTGCCCTCTCCCTCCACTTATGCTGGGTTTAGGGGCAGAGAGCCCTCTCCTGCCCCCACCCTCGCGCGTTCGCCCAGGTCTGATGAGACACTCCCAAAGCGCCTGCAGTTGTCTTGTCTTCGGTGCAGGGGGAAGCGGTCTTTCTTTCAGGCAACATGACAATCCTGTGAGCCCATCGTTCCAAATAAACGCAGCTGACCTTCTATTATTGTATCAGGATCAGGCTGGCCGGAACACCAGGGCCCCTGCGTCCCTGGAGCACATGCCACTGACAGGCTGGCTCTGTCCACACGGCTGCTGGCTTGCAGCCCCTGCCCAGGCCCAGCCCGACCTTGGCCTCCATGCCAATCTGGCTACTCATGTTCAAGGCTCCCCGTGCCTCTTCCTGGCCCAGGAATCCAGGGGTACGAGTCTGATTGGCAGGACCCTGCTAGCAAGGCCCTCCTGGTGGCCCTGCAGAGCCTGGTGCACTCTGAGTCTGGCTTATGCTTGTCTCCACTCCCTCATCCCCTGCCCAACAGGGGTGGGCGGCCAGTGAGCCACACCGTGTGTGTGTGTGTGTGTGTGTGTGTGCGCGTGTGCGTGTTTCTGGGTACCATGAGGCTCAGGACAGGGGAATGGCACCTAAAGATGCATGCCCAGGTCTGAGAGTGGCGAGGCTGATCTACAAAACAAGAGGCATTTTCCAGGTCTCTGGGCCTCTCACTGGAGGAAGCCATGCACACCTTAGCCCTCCCACCTCTAGAACGGCTCTGCAGGGCGGCTGGTGCACTCTGCAGGCTTTGGGCTGTGCAGCCTGAGGGAGAGCCCGGAAAAGGAAGGAGCTGGTGGGATGGGGGAGTGGCAGACCATCAGCCCCCAAATCCCCACTCTGCTTGTAAAGAGCCCAGCACCGCTTCTTCAAGAGGCAAAGCGGAGACTTCACCCTGGAATTGTACAATCCGCCCCCAGCTAGCTCCTCCCATTGAGGCTGGCTCCTCTGAAACAATGACTAACCCAAAAGTCCCTCTGATGCGGCCAGGAAGGCAGCCAGACACACGCAGTCACACGCACACAGACACGCAGACTCGCACAGCCACACGGCCTTTCCGAGGCGGCGATGTGCAGAGGGGAGCCGCTGGCACTCGGAGTCACAGATACACACCTGCTGGGAGGCTCACAGCCCGGACAGCGCGGGGCAGATACACAGACACGCACGGACGGGCGGACACGAGCTGGAGACCGCTCTGCACAAACTCGCACTGACCACAGGCACACTCCCGGGCCAGGCAAACACACGGCTACCCAGGGCCCCACTCCGGCTGCTGACCGCAGGGGGGTCGTATGCTCCTGTTCCCAAGCTCTGTAGGTGCTGGGGCCCCGGGGGGATGAGGCTGATCAGTTTAGGGGTTCACTTACCCGGTGCGGGTACTCTCCACACTGACCCTGAGGGGAGGGGAAGGAGAGGAGGGTGTTAGGCACTGGCTGGTGGCTGTCCGTCAGGGGCACCTCAGGGCTTGTACACACCACCCACACTCATCACCCATCAGACCCCCTCTAGTCCTGGACTGAGCTCTCTGAGGTGGGAGAACTAACCCCCCTCCCCTCCCTACTCCACCCCGACTGGCAGCATAAAGAAACCCCGGGGGCCTGCCTGGATGTGGCCCCATGGAGCCTGGACAGGACTCCACTGCCATGTACCACCTGCCCTGACACAGGCAGGAGCTGTGCTCCACACCTGGCTGGAGGGATCTTCCAAAAAGGTCGGCCCTCGGGTGGGTCCACCCAATGCCCCTGGACGGCAACAGCAGACGGGGAGGCAGGTTGTGGGCAACGAGGCCCCTGGAGACGCCTTCTCTGAGCTGGGGGTGCCAGGTCCCTGTGCCATCCGCCTGGGCAAGCCCAGCAGAATCTCCATCAGAAATTTGGAGAGTAAATGTGGGGGGCCAGGCAGGGGCCAGGCTACTGGTTTACATACTGACACCTCAAAATCCCAGCGGCTCCTGGAGGTGGGTCAGGAGACGTGGGGTGGCAGGTGGGAGGGGCTGAGAGAGGCTGAGGAGGGCCAGGCTTCAGGGCCAACCCCTTCCACCCCCCTCTCCCCGCAACCGACCCCAAGAACAGAGCAGGAGCCAGAGCAGCTTCCCTTTTCTCTCTTCTATACCAGGCACCACAGGGGCCCCCTGGTTCTGATAAGAACTAAAGTTTAAAAATAACCACTCTGGACCCCTTCCTTCCTGTTTGTTGTTGTTGTTGTTGTTTTAATGTGCTCCACCTGAGATGAAAATTCTAGAAAACCTCCAGCGGGCTTACCTTTTCTCCTTTTTCTCCTTGGGGCCCCTATGAAGAGATGGAGAGGAGAGCGTTAGAAACTAAAGCTGAAAGCACAGCGGCCCAAAGCCTCTCTGCGGGGGGACATTGGGGTGAGGTACCAACCGGCTGTCCTCGGGGACCCGCCAGGCCCTGTGGGAGGAAACACACAGGTCAGTGGGCGCACAGGAGGCAGGCAGGCGGGAGGCGGCGGCGCAGGCAGGGGATGTGTTAGAGGCCGGGTTTCCCGGCGCTTCTCAGAATGCCCGGGTCGCCAGGGCTGCCCCCCTCCCCCCGCCCCACACCCACGCCTGGTCTTCCCGTGCCCGAGATGCTCCTGGGATGTGGCCTGTACCCCACATCTCAGCATCTTCATCTGCCCGTGGGCACAGCTAGCTGTGCCGTCCCCACCTGCATGGCCGAGAACAGATGCCGTCCTCATTCATGCCTCCCCCCGTCATCTCTGGGCCCCTGGCTAGAAAGGAGGCTGCGTTTGCATGTGACGCCTGCCTCACTCACGCCCATCTATCTCATGGCTTTGGAGGAATCTCTGGCCAAAGAGAGGAAGCAGGAAGTTGACGACTTAAGCCAGGTCCTGGGCCCCTTGGAGGAACATAAGGGACCTTGGGGCTTCCTTCCAGGATATCTTGTCAAAGCTACAGGGCTGACAAAGGCGCCCGGGCTCAGGGTGGACCCATGTTCTCTGAGACACAGCGTCTAGCTGGCTCTCTCAGGAGCCTGAGCGGAGCCCGTGTGGAGGCCTCATGGCTGGTTTGGAGGGAGTGGGGCGGATAAGCACTTCCAGCGCTGAGGACCCCCCTGAGGCTGGCTTTCAGTATATGCTGAGCTCACCCCCCCCCCCCCCCCCCACACACACACCCCCGGCCCGTGAGAAAGGTGCTCACGTCAGCTCCATCTCCCAGACCAGGTGAGGGAGACAAGGCTCAGCATGGGGTGGCATTGGGACGTGAGTCCAAGTCTGTCTGACCATCCGGGTCCAGCTGTTTCCACTCTGCCACGCTCTCTGAACTGGGCTGGACCTCGGGAGGCAGGGCCTGGGTTTTTAGACGTGGCTGAGCCCAGGCAGTGCCCCGGCTACTGGGGCCTGAGGTCCCTTCCGGCCACCATACTGAGGGCCTGTGGAACCCACCTGCTGGGCCCATCTCTTTGGGGCTTGGCGAGCTCATGATTCCCAGGACAGTCCTTCTGGGTGGGGGATGAGCCTTCTCTTGCCCCTGGCTGACCAACGGGACCAACCACGGGACTGGGAAAGTCCCAGGTTCATAAGGGGAGAAAAATGGCCTTCAGGGCAATCCATGTGGCACCCCAGCCCATATGGCTGACCAAGTGTTTAGTATCAAGAGCCGCAGAATATGATGCATCTGGCAGGAACCAGACTGCAAGTGACCAGGCCAGAGAGAGGAGCTAGATGAGAGAGGGAGGGCCAGGGGCCAAGAAACAAAGGTTCGGGATTACACAGGCTCGCAGGAGTGAGTCCAGACACCCACATGGTGGGCCACGGGGCACTCGTGGTCCCAGAGGTATTTGGTTGATCCTACACAGTTTTATTTCACTTAATTGCCAACATTTAAGAGCAAGGAGAGCACAACAAAAACCTGGATTTCAAGTTTCTTTTAAAAATTTCAAGGTCCAATAAGACATGACACCCATTAGCTCCAGCTGAAAGCAGCTGCCCCTTGAAGGCAGGTCACGGGTGAGGTGCTGGCTAAGGCGCTCGTGGTGTCTCCTGTGTGCCAGGCACTGTTCTCAGCACCTGGTGGGAATTAACTCTTCCCATCCTTAGACAGCCCTGTGAGTTCAAGAGTCCCGACTTTCCTTTAGGGCACCGGCGGGACCCCGATCCTGTCTACACCCTACAGCAGGTTCTTGGGGCTACTATGAGGGGGGTGGGCAGAGGTGACTGCCCTTTAACAGGCGAGGACATGGGTTAAGCACGTGAGGGTGAGCCCCAGCCCCCGTGCTGGACGCCCAGCGGAGGGAGAACCAGCTGGCGAGGAAGGTGAGTAGGAGACGGACAGATGATAAGCAGACCAAGATAATTACACCAGACAGAGCGTTGAATTAATAGCTCGGCGTCCCCGTGCCAAGTCAAACAGGAGTCTAATAGCTCTGTGGCCTGTCAGATTTTGACGGATGACTATGAGGCAGATAAGGCATCTATCACACCGGTGTGGGCTCAAGAGAGATGGGTGGCCCCACCCTTCCCTGAATTAGCTCTGACCTCTGAACAGACAGGTTAACTGGGGTGGGGCAGAGTGACGGCAGGAAAGGAAGCCCCATAAGAAGGGTCCTTTCCTTCAAGACAAAGGGTCCTGGCAGCAGAAAGGAGGCGTGGTGAGGGGGTAGGATCTCCCCACGTGGGTCTTCGTCCCAGCTCTGTTACTGAGAAGTTGTATAGCCTTGGGCAAAATACTCAACCACTCTGTGCCTTGAGCTTCCCTTCTGTCGAGTGGGAATAGTAAGTCATTATGAAGATTACGGAACGGTGCTAGTTCATGACCATCATGACTACTTCTCGATGCCAAGACTATATGGTAGCGCCAGGCCACCAGGAAGGAATGACCCAAACACCTGGCATCCAAACCCCTTAAGCCTCGACCACAAGTAACATGGAAGTTTGTTCCTGCCTCGGTCCCCATTACTTCAGACATGTGCACAGCATTCTTAGGAACAGGGTGGGGTCAACAAGAAACTCATTTGCAGAGGAAAGCTGGCTGGGGGACCTGGGTTCCAACACCAGTTCTTCCTCCCACTACCTCCAGTATTGCACTGCCCTTCTTCCGGATATTTTAAGGACTTTCCTGCCTCAGGGCCTTTGCACAAGCTGTTCTTCCATGTGCTTCCCATTCCCTTTTCTCTTAGTTAAATCCTCAGGAACACCTCTCTGGCCCTCAGCCTGGGTGAGGTGCCATAGTACTGAGGTTGCTCAGGGTAACAGGAGCTGCCTTTTCATGGCACTAGTTACCAAGGCAATTTGTTAATTAAGTCAGGGATTATTTAAATGTGTGCCTCCCAATTACGCTGGGAGTTAAAGGATGGCAAGGACAGTGCCGTCCATATTCCTGTCTGTATCCCTAGCACCTGGCACAGGGTCATGCTGAGGATTAAGTGAGATAATGTATGTACAGTTCTTAGCTTCATGCCACCACGAAGAAAACCCGCAGTAAATGTTAGCTGAGTTTGAGTCGGACAGGCTGAGGTCAGAGGGAGCTGGGTTGCAGGGGTCCCATGGCAAGTTAGGGAGAGCTGGGGCTGCAGCCCAGGCCTCCCCGCTGACATCCCTCCCTCTTCGCTTCCAGCTACGAGGTGATCTGCCTCCCTCAGTGGGCAGGGTTCTGGCCTCCCAGGCCCTGGCAGTGCCCCAGGTGTGGATGGAGAGTGTCCTCACCTAGCACTTGGAGCAGGGTACCAGCCTGAGCCCGCTGGGCAGGGAGACAGGAGCCTGCTCTGTTGCTCTCACACCTGGCACAAGCCCCAGGCCTGGCCGCGGAAGCTGGCTGCTCACAGTGCTGAGGTGACCAACCCGGGAGGCAGGGCAGGTCCCAGCCGGGGCTGGCCCCTCTGCTCCTAACGGCCCCTCCCCTCCCCTAGAGCAGACAGCTCCTGCTGGGGACAGACCTTTTCCTTCTGGAAGAAGTGGCTTGGGGAGGGAGACAATACAGAGAGGAAATTCTGGTTGAAGGCTCTGCAGAGGCAGAAGGGGCTGGAGGAAGGTGGGACCTCCAACGCCTTCTCCGAGGCTGCTTTTGCCCAGAGGGACAGGACTGCCTAGACTAGAGTCTGGAGAAGCCAGAGGAGGCCGGGCATGAGGAAACCAGGCCAAGGATGAGGTGCTGAAGGGCTCCCTAGACCCCCAGCATGAGCGGTGAATGTAAGCTCATCCCCGAGGGAGCGCTACCTCTAACTCTGTGTGACATTGGCCAAGCATGGATTCCCTCTGGGCCTCCCTTTCCCCATTTTTCACGTGGAGAAGCCCCCGCCCACCTCTCCTCCCTTCACTGATGTGGGGCTCTAGGGGGCTGCACTGTACACAGCAGGGGGGGCGGGGGTGGTGATTGTGGTGGCAGCTACTTCGCTGGCCCTGTTGCCCCGTTGGCCAGGCGGTGCTGGGCTGATGCCCCACCCCTTGAGGGAAGACAGGAAAGCTGGGGTCTTACCATCTCTCCTTTGGGTCCGGGGTAGCCCTGGAAGGAGAAGTGCATGAGAGTCCGGCACATTGTTTGCAACCCAGAAGCCCCCCTGCCCTGCCACACGTGGCTCCTCCCTCCAGCGCCAGGTCCCGGGAGGTGAGTGGACATGATGACCAGCCACCCCGTGCTTGGCTCTGACCTGCAGAGGGGAGTGACCAGGCGGGCAGCCAGGCCCCTCATCTGAGAGGATGCCCGCTGCCCAGGGAGAGAGAGTGGGTGGCATCTGAGAGCGCTGGAAGGTTGAGCTGTCCCCAGGTCACTCCTTCCTAAGAGTAGGGAGGGGTCTCCTTTCCCCGTGAACATTTGTGTCATTCAAGCCAAAAGACTGAAATGAACAGGAGAGTTCAGGATGGGGAAGCAGCCTCCGTACAGACTCCGACGTGTGTGTGTGTGTGTGTGTGTGTGTGTGTGTGTGTCCACCAGATGGGAGTCCCGGGAGGATGGTAGACGCAGGAGGCGCCCTGGCGGTGCTGGGAGCAACAGTGTGAGCACGTGCCAGGCTCCTTTAGAATTAGTTGTTGGGCCCTCCCACCGAGCCCCCTTCCAGGAGCACCCAGCAGCTCCACATTCTAGGGTGGCTCTTGCTCCAGACGCCAAAGGCCCCTCTTGGCGGCTGTGGACTTGTGCCCGGTGGAGGCCCCCTGGGGTCAGGGGTAACCCAATCTAATGCCCCTCCTCCCTTCCCACTGGCAACAACTTCCTGCCCCAGGAACGGTCATTCTGTCCAAAGCTTCTTTCCGAGGAATTGGGGTCTTGCCGAAGGACTAAGGGACCCCCGGTTAGTGACCAGGACCAAGTGAGGGGGAGGAGCCTGAGGCCCAAGAGGGTCTACTCACCGGTTTGCCGTCTAGCCCAATGGGACCCTGAAAGCAGAAAGAGGACAGATGTGAATGCCCAGCTGCCAGGTCTCCTGCCGAAGAGGCCGCCTGGGCAGTGGGTACGACCCCACCAGCTAGGGTTCGAGTCTCTGCTCGGCCACTGACTGGTGATGTGACCACGGCTAAGCCAGTTTCCCATCCTAAAATGGGGGTGAGACTAATAGGCCTTCTACCGAGGGTCCTGGTGAGGAGCGAGTGAGGTGTTGCCTGGGAGATGCCCCACACGAGGACCCGCTGGGGCCGTCACCATTGCTAACACAGGCCTCGGCCCCAGCCCGGTGGCCAGTGGGCAGTGTGTTCCTAGGCAGTGAGGCTGGCTGGCATCAGGGCCTGTGGGAGGGAGCTGCTCCTCTGTCCTCTCTCTTGGGGTCTGTCTTGGGCTCCCAGGGAGGGGTCCCAGGGCATCCAGACGGCCACCTGACTGCCTCCAGGATGGAGGCTACCTCCCTGCAGTGCCACACTCCAGTGCCCAGGGTTTGCCAGCCTGTGACTTCTCTCATGGCTCCGTCCTGCCGTCCCTCCATCTCCATGCTCATTTCCTGGTCCTCACTTGCACTGCGCTCCTCTCCTCGGCTGCTCTCGGGAAAGGCCGGAGGAGAGGGCCCTATTAACCAGGGTTGGAAGGGCAGGGCTGGCCCCGCATGAAGGTCACCCAGCCAAGCCCAGGGATCCCCGGAGCCACAGCTAACCTCAGCTCTCCCCACTTACCGGAAATCCAGGAAACCCTCGGGTGCCCGGCTGGCCCTGAAAGGAATGGAGAGGAGTGAGGATGGTGAGGAGGAGACGAAACTAATCCTCAGCCCCCTGGTTCACCTTTGCTCCCAGAGGGGCCTGGGCGTCCTCCCACTCCTCTGCGATCATCCACCATGAGCTGGCTGCGTGGGGGGTGGGGGGTGGGGGGGTGGGGGGGTGGGAGGTGGGGTGGGGATAAAGGTAGCGACTCCTCCCAGGGCTGGGGGTGGGGAGGGGGAGGGGAAAGAAGAGGGCCAGCATCCTTTGGGTCTTCCTGGGAAGTAGCCCCCTGAGCGCCTCGCTGCTGTGGACACCCTGAACCTCAGCATATAAACAGGTGATGGAGAGCGAGGACATCGGGGACTCGGCCGGCAGCGCGCTGAACCCCTGACCTGTGGTTTTCCAGGTCCTTTTATTTATAGTCATGATTCACGGCCACTTATCTACGGACAGCTTGGCTATCAGCGGGTTCGGAAACCTGGCCTCCGAGATGCGTGTGTTCAGGCCGGACTAGGGGCGCCTGCTCACTTCCCTCTGAGCAGGCCTCTTCTAGTTGGGCAATTTTGGATACCCCCATCTTTGCGGGATCAATTCGTGCCCATTCTCCTGGGGGTGCAGAGGAAATAGACAGATACTCAGTTGGAGACTACAAGCAGGTTCACTGGTTTAGGGTCAGTCATCAGGACCAGAGATGTGCCCGGCCAGGTGGGAAGCAGCATGAAGCTGTGCAGATCCAGGGCTGGGGGTGGGGGTGTGGAAAGAGGGCTGATCGGGAGGTCAAGGGTCACAGAGAGCTAAGACGCACCAGTGCCGTTGCTCTCCTTCTCAAGACCAATAATGGCTCTCGTCTACCCACACGCCATTCATGGCCATCCTCAGCTCATCCGCATCTGCCTTCCCAGGTCCTTTCCTGCCTCATCTCCCCACCGACGCAGGCAATGGGTTACCCTGCCTCCCCCAGACACACCACCTCTTTCCCGTGTTTAGCTCTCAGCTTAGAGTCGTCCCCCCCCCGCCTGACTGAGATGGCCACAGTCTCTTCCCAAGCTTGGGCTCTTGAATCTGGCTGCCTCCACCAACCATGGTGTGTGCCTCTGAGCAAGTGGTCTAACCTCTCTCTGCCTCAACGACCTCATCTGGAGGATGGGGATAGCAGTATAACCACAGGGACATTGACGCACGTTCAGTTATGCTTGCGAAGCCCTTTGAAATGGCAGCTGCCACCATCGGCCGATTGTTGGGTTGAACTGACTCTAGAAGCACCAAGGTTGCTTTTGCGCCGGATACTTCTTAGGACCCAAGGAGGCGTGTCCTTGCCAAACAGTAGCTTCAGAACCAGACCCTATCCAGAGGAAGATTTCTCCGGACCCATCTGCTGTGACCCCGAAACATCACAAGCTGCTCCGGTTGTCCTGGAAGCTGTGGACACGAGTGCCCAGAAGCCTCTGCTCAGGAGGCATGGCTGGTGGGATGTGGACCCTGGCCCTGCGAGTGCACTAGCCAGGCAGGGAGTATCCGCAGGCTCAGGACGGGCTTCTGGCAGGCATCCCAGAGGGCGAGCGGGAGGAGATGCCACTCCTCTATCAGAAGGGGCCCTGGCTTCTCTCCTCTCAAGGATAAGTGATGCTAAGAATAGCAGCAAGCAGAAAACTCGGAACCCGTGCTCTGTGACCTCTGAAACCTCCCACTGTAAACTTAGGCCTTCTCTGAACCCCGAGAGGAAGGAGAGGTCAGGAGGAGAGGGTTCCAAGAAGCCTCTTCAAGTCCCACTTGGGCTAATGTTTACATGGTGGGGACGATCACATGGTTCGCTAATGACAGAGCCTGCCTGGTAGCAGGAGGCGTCTCTCCAACCCAAAGCCAAATCCAGGGCTGACCAAGGGCTTTTTAGGGACCTTGGGAAGAATGTTGTCATTGACCAAATGGAAACTGGGACTCTCCTTACGGAAGAGGTTAGGTCTGGGGAAGGCACTTGGAGAGGCTTGGAACTGGATTTTCATTTACAACAAATTCTATACTGAGGTTGGACAGCTCTTCCGATGTTTATTGCTGGCCCTATTTATTTGTGAACAGCCTGTTTGTATTCGTTACCAATATTTTCTACTAGGTCAGCGGTTCTCAACCTGTGGGTCGCGACCCTTTGGGGGTCGAACGACCCTTTCACAGGGGTCACCTGAGACCATTGGAAAACACACATATAATTACATATTGTTTTTGTGATTAATCACTATGCTTTAATTATGTTCAATTTGTAACAATGAAAATACATCCTGCATATCAGATATTTACATGACGATTCATAACAGTAGCAAAATTACAGTTATGAAGTAGCAACGAAAATAACTTTATGGTTGGGGGTCACCACAACATGAGGAACTGTATTAAAGGGTCGCGGCATTGGGAAGGTTGAGAACCACTGGACTAGGTTGTTTGTCTTTTTTCCCATTGATTTGAGTAAAGCTCTTTGTCAAGCATAGTGACTCTTTGGTAATCACGCTGCAAGCATTCTTGCCATGGGCATTTGCCTTTCTAATGAACTACTTTGTGCCAGATGGAAGTTTTGCATTTATGTTGATAAACTTATCCATCCTGTCAAACAACAGTTTCTTGTGGCTTCTGGGTTTTATGTTGTGTTTTGAAGGTCTTTCCCAAGTTAAACATGAACCCGGCCAGCACGGCTCAGTGGCTAATCGTGGCTCATGAACCAGGAGATCAGGGCTCATGCCAGAGGCAGCCGATCAATGACTCTCCCGTCACTGATGTTTCTATCTCTCTCTCTCCCTCTCTGAAATCAATAGAAATATATTTTAAAAAAATGAGAAAATGTTTGCTCATGCTTTGTCCTTGTATGTTAGGGTTTCGTGTTTTGCATCTAAGTGTTTTATTCATTTGAAATTTGCTCTGATATAACAAGTGAGGTAGATACTCAGCTTTTTTCGCTAGTTTTAAATGGCTTTTTTCTAAGAGGCTTGTCCATTGGCCCAACATCATTTTCTGAACAATCTATGTTTCTCTCTGTTATGAAATCAAGCCTTTATCACAGACCAACCTACTGGTGCATTTGGCTTTATTTCTGGCCTCCCCTCTGTTTCATGTGCAGTGATACTTGCTCTATTTTTATGACACACTTTGATATCTAGTAGAGCAACTAGTCCCCTCTGCACTATTACCCTTACTCTATTTTTCAGAATTTTCCTGATATCCTCACAAGCTTCCTTTTTCCAAATGAATTGAATATTATTTTGTTGGTCTCTCAACCCCATAAAAATTAACTTGGCCCTAGCTGGTTTGGCTCAGTGGATAGAGCATCTGCCTGCAGACTGAAGGGTCCCGGGTTCAATTCCAGTCAAGGGCGCATGCTTGGGTGCTTGGGTTGTGGGCTCAATCCCCAGTGCGGGGAGTGCAGGAGGCAGCTGATCAATGATTCTCTCTCATCATTGATGTTTCTCTCTCTCCCTTTCCCTTCCTCTCTGAAATGTGTATACACACACACACACACACACACACACACACACATAAATTCACTTGAATTCAGGTCATATTAAAGTTATGGATTATAGATTTGTAGATGGATTTATGGTTCAATAATATATCCTTCTAAAGAAGAACAATAAGAGGGCAAGCTTTCCATGGCCTCTGAAATCTCTTCCCTTCACTTGAGGTCAGAGAGGAGAGGAGCCCTGTGGGTCCTGCTGTTGGGAAGTGGACCTTACACTTGTCGACGCCTCCGTTCCTTCCTCCTACCTGCAACCTGTGCAGGCTAACGCCGCATGGACAGGCAGGATGTTCTGGTTGGAAAGAGCTACCAGGACTCTCCCTTCTCTTCGATCTGACTCCTTGAAAGAGGCTTGGCTGTGGCTCTACCTAGAGCCTGACACATTTACGTCCCTCTCTCCAAGTCAGCGCTGCCTTTCAAATTCGACTCTGTGCTGGTCACTGGGCTGGGGTGGGGGAGAGTGGCGAGGAGAGCCTGTCTTGTACAGCATTTGCAGCTGTCTGTGGTGTAAATGCTCCCACCATGGCTGGTTTCAAGCTCCCAGTGTGATAGCACTGAACTGGGAGGGGTGTGAAGGACTGGCTCTAGTGAGCCAGTGTGAGCCAGCTCAGAACGCCAGCCCTGGGAACTCCAGCTGCAAACGGAGGGCCTCTCCCCTGTGGGATGTTGCAAGGACATCTCCAACTCATTACGCTCAGATTAAACTCACTTCTCCCAGCAAAATCTGCTCTTCCCTCCGGGGAAGGCACCCCATCTACTCTGTTACCAAGTCAGAAATACGGGATCACCTCGGACTCCTCCTCCCTCAATCCCCATTTTTATTACGTTCCGCCAATTCCTCCTCCAAAATATCTCGCCAGCCTCGCACTCCCACCAGCCCCAGGGACTGTGCTCCAGTCTGGGTCTTGACTATTGCAGGTGCCTTCCAGCCAGGCCCCGACCTGCGGCCTCTTCTAAACATTCTCCATGCACGGGAACGGGGCATCAGGAGATCTTTCTAAACTGCCAATCTGATCTTGTCCCTCCTCAGCTGAACACAGCCCCAGGGCTCTCCACTGCCCTCAGGAGAAAGTCTGACTCCTGAGCATGGCGCCCGCCCGGGTCCTTCCTGGTGACAGCCTTGCTCATTGCCAGCCTCACCCTTGCTTTGCTCTGGAAGGAACTTCCTCATTTCTCTAGTCCTTTAGAAGGAGCTATCCTGCCTCCGGACTCAGGGCTCCTCCCCAGCCTGGTACCCGAGTCACCTCTGCTCGTCCTTGATCACACGATTTAGTGATTCCTTCCTCCCAGGAGCCTTCCCGGCCTGCCCGCCCCCGCCCCAGGTCAGGCGCCTCCTCCGTGTCCCCACAGCTCCCTAACCGCCCGGGCTGAGCAGTGACTGCATTGTAAGCACTAGGGCATTGCTGGTCTCCTGTCAAGGGGCAGCAGCTGCAGCCAGGTTTGCCTTGTGTGCCCTGCCTAGCATGCAGGAGGTGCCCAACACATGTTAACGGAATAAATACACCACGAAACACGCAACATGTGTATCGGCCTGATGAGGGTGTCTCCTGTGAACAGCAGCCTGCCCCTGGATGGAGCTGCTGAAAATAGAAGTGGGGACAGCCTGTCTGACCTTCCCAGGCTCCAGGCAGCCCGCCTGGCTCCACCTCTCAGCTCCCAGCGCTCACCGTCGCCCTGCCCTGGCTGCTTAGCTCATCATAACTCCCTCCCTTGGACCTAACCTTGCAGTTTCCTCTCTGACCCCTCTCCTTAGACTGTGGGTGAGTAAAAGAGAAGACTCCTGCTTTCTATTGGCTCGCCCCGTTGAAGGCAGGAGAGTGGCAGGCTGAGCTTCCCCCATCCATGGGGCTAGCCTCAGACTCCCAGAAGCTGTCACCCGAGTAGAAGGTGCAGCTCCCCTCGCCCTCTCATTGTAAATAGCAGGTCAGGAAAAGCACATAGAACATGGAGAGGGTGGCCTGCTGCTGTGGTGGGAGCCCTGGATGCCAGGGTCCTGGGTTCTGATCCTGCCCTAGCCTCTATGTGTGGGACCCTGGCCAAGCCCCTTCCCCTCCCTGGACCCGTTGCCCCTTCTCAGAGGGCTGTGCCTTCCACTGCTGAGGTCCTTTCCACCCTGACGGCTGGTGATTTTGATTGATTTTAGAGAGAGAAAGAGAGAGGGAGAGAAGCATCAATGTGAGAAAGAAACAGCAATCGGTTGCCCTGATCTGAGATGGACCCACAACCTGGGTATGTGCCCGACCAGGAACCAAACCCGCGACCCTTTGGTGTACGGATGATGCTCCAACCAACTGAGCCACACTGGCCAGGGCAATGTTTGGTGATGTTATGGCAGCCCCGTGGCTCAGGCATTCTTTGAGAAAAGCAGCCAGGCCTTATTTCCAGAGTCACCGCATCTTCCCACATCAGCACCCACGTCACCCGCTGGTCCCTACGGAGCTTATCTACATGGAATCCTCTCTGACTGTCCCTAGCCCCAGCTGCTGGGGCAGAAGGAGTAAGGACACAGGGCCAGGCTAAGCACAAAAGGAGCTCTGAGGGCGAGAGTGGCTCGGGCCTCCCGGGACCAGTGGGTGGGGGATCAAGGGACTCTGGTGCTGGGGTAATTAGCTCCAGGGGACTTTCTAGAACCAACAAGTGGTGTGGCCCCAGTATACATGTTTGCACCCCCATCCACGGGGGGAAACGAGGACTTCCTGCACCCTTTAGTCTTTATCTGGATGAAACACCATGTCAGCTCCTGGCACCATCGGAAACAAAAACCCTG